CCTCATGCATAGATAAAAAGTGCTCGTTGCCCGACAACGAAAGCGGAGGAATCCGATTGGGAATCGGCCCTCGAACCAGACACTTCCAACGCTATCTATGCCCAAGCGGCGGACGGCGGCGTCGACGTCGTCCGGCGGAATGCTATTTAAGCGGGATATGATTCGGAATGACAAATCAGAAGTGAAATAACTCGGCAACAGCGAGCAACAGGCTAGCCGTTAAAAATAACTAACAACCAAGAAATAGCACAAGGTAAGAGGAAAGGGAGAATAAAATATGTGGGGCAAATGCCTTGCCAAGAATTATTGTAAATTTATGCCGTGATCATGCCTTGACATCGTGGACTAATGCCCAGTTCCGGTTTTGATTTCAGAACTTTGTCCGAAACCAAATCAATTGAAGAAAATGCCGACCGCATCAGCACATCTGCCCATTCAGAAGCGCCGGCCGCATGAGCACAATGGCGAACCCAGCTGCCAGGGTCTGGATGAGGTGAACCGCATGTTCCGGAACTACTGGGATCCCACGGCCTACTGGGTGTGCGATAAGCAGGGCACACGGGCTCGTCTCCAGCGCTGCCCGCAGTCGCAGCTGTACTCCGAGGAACTGGGTCGCTGCGTCCACTATGCCGATTGGGCCTGGACGGATCCCAAGGAGCCGGCTGGACGCGCCAAGATCAGTCAATCGGTGTCCACAAACTAGTGGCAGCTATCGGCTAATCTTAATTTAATGCTAGTCTAAGACAACCAACCTCATTAGGCTTACGTCTATTTTTACAAAATACCTTTATTTTTAATGAAAATAAGAAAAATCAGTACAAAATCAATAGTTGCTCGATTTCAACAATTTGGGGGCATTGTTTACTTTTAACTTAGCTACATGGAATGCACTTTCGGTTGCAAAGAGGAATGGAATGTTTATAGTGCCTAAGCAAAACAGAATTATATGTTAGCCTAAAACATATAAAGCGTTGCCCATCGAGGATCATCTGAGCTGGGCCCTCGGCTAGTCTGAATTTAGCTACATTTCGACTAAAATTAACTGGCCTGACTGGCCTGAGTAAATAAGAAACCTTTGAATATTCCCCAAAATTGGTTGAGATGTTGGAGGGAAAAGATAATAATCAGAATAGGCTTTGACTACGTGAAGAAACTAATCTCGCGCCTGGGAATATCCCCGATGAAATGAGGAGGAAGCTGGTGCGTCTGCGATCTTAGAGCTCCACATTGACGCCTTGCTTGTTGATGACCTTGAGCTTCTCCTTCTTAGGTGGCTGTGTGTCCGAGGGGATCTCCTCCTCTACGGGCGCGGGTTTCTCAGGCACTGTGCGTTTGACTTTCGGTTTAGAGGGCGTTGGAGTAGTAGTAGTAGTTGGCTTAGGAGTAGTGGTGGTTGTTGTAGTCGTAGATGGCTTAGTTGGCGGCTTCGTAGTGGTTGGCTTAGGCTTGGTAGTCGTGGTGGTGGTCGTTGGTTTCTTGGTTGTCGTTGTGGTAGTGGGTTTTGGCGTCGTTGTCGTTGTCGTTGTGGTAGTGGGCTTCGGCGTGGTTGTTGTAGTTGTCGTGGGTTTTGGAGTGGTGGTGCTGGTAGCCGCCTTGGGTTTAGGAGTGGCTGTGCTAGGTGGCACACCAATGGACGCCTCCAAACCTTCGCCCTCGACGCGAACATTGCGCACCTTCAGCGTGGGCTGCTTGGCCTTTGGCGACTTCACGCGCGCTAGGTACTGATTGGTGGGGGAGCCCAGGAACAAAAAGTCCTGGAACTCCAGGACGTGTGAAACCGTGGCGGCCGACTTGTCAAAGCCATGCAGGGAGCCCACAATGTTGCCGTTCCAGTCCACACGCACGACAGTGCTGCGCTTGGGCGCCAGCACAGTGATGCTCTCCATGTGGCCCACGAAGTGAACGAATCGCTGCGAGAACTTGTTCGGATACACGCTGTTTAGGTAACGGAAGGGCAGCTCGAACAAAGCCAGTATGCGGGCCAGGAACAGACGCACGCTGGGGAAGCGAGTGAACAGGGTGAAGCCGCTGGGATGCTCGCTATCCGCGCTCTGGACCAACGGCACCCAGATGCCCTCGGCGTCGGGCGTCAGGTTATCGGGCAAACCGGGCAGTCCGTCGACGAACACCTCGCTCTGACCGGCCTTCGCTCCCTTTAGGTAATACTTGGTCAGACGCAGCGCTCCCGTCTCGGCTACCACGATGAAGTCCTCGTTGGGACTGAGGGCCAATCCGTTGGCGAAGACCAGTTCGTCCAGCAGCACCTCGCTAACATTCTTCGAGCGGTTGTATTTGAAGAGACTGAAAGATAAAAGAAAGCACAGGCCGTTAGAGTAACCAGTGGACCCGATCAAGAAACCGGTTTGCGTTCGTCTTACAGTCATACATGTGTAACTTTTCCCTTAATTATAAGAATTTAGCTAACCCAAGCAAGCGTGGAGTCTTAATTGAGAGTAATTAGGTCAATCCCTCTAGTCCGCTACCAACGTTTTTAATAATCTAAAATTGGGCACACTTAAATAATAATGAACTATATAAAGAACTTCTTGTATACACAAATTCCATCTAAAGAGGCCATACTGTAGCCCTACTCCGAACAGCTATCACTTTGAAAACTAGCATTATTAGACAGTTACGCTAAAATATGCGATGAACTCACCGGCCGGAGGGGTTAGCAAAGCTGGCAAAGACGAGGTCTTCGATGGTGAAGTCCGACGAGGAGTCCGTCCAGTAAATGTCGCCCTGTTTGCTCACGGTTACGCCGTTGAAAATCTTGGCAGGGCGGTTGATGGACTTGCCGGCAAGTTCCTGGGCGGGGGAGACCAGCAGAGTCTTCTTATTGGTGCCCAAGTCCACCTGCCACAGGCCGTAGTAGGCGTCGGCGATGATGAGGTTGTTGCCCTGCGTATCAAAGGACAGTCCCAAAGGACGACCGCACCTGGACTCCTCGTAGATATCCTCTGCAAGGGGGATTAGTATTATGAAATGTATTCCCTTTAATGGCCCTAAAAGTACCCACCGCAGGGCTGGCCGATCTTGGTGACATGCGTGACATGGTTGGAGGTTAGCTTTATGACTTCGCCGCCGTGAATGCCGGTGTAGATCTCGTTGTTGCGGGCTATCAGGCACTCCGGGCCGTAGACCCGCCCCTCCAGCAGTCGCTCTGCTCCCTCCAGGTGAAAGTTCGGTTCCAGAGCGCCCTTCAGGTCTTTGGGCGGGGTCACACTGTACGGATGGGTGATTTCTCCAAGGATTAGGGCGTGCATTACGTCAATAGAAACGGGCTGAACTTACGAATAGTCCTTGAAGGGGAAGGTGGTGCGCGGCGGCAGACCGGGCATCAGGATGATGATGAGGAAGAAAATCATGAAGTTCATGATCCTCACACGCAGCGCGTACAACAGGCCCATGATTGATTTCTTGTGCGTCCGCCGATCACAAATTATAGCCCAAAAACCCGCTTAATTTAAGCAATAACCCCGAAGAAAGCGACACGACGGCAAAGTTCAACAAGAAAAAAACGCAAAAGTCATCATCCGGACCGGCAGAGGTGGCCGAAATATCGATACAACTATCGTTCTCTGATTGACCATCACTTACACTATACCACACAAATTAATAAAATTACCGCTTATAAATACTATGTATTTTATGATGATAAAAGCGTAGTAATTAATGTGTGGCATATCAATAAATTAACATAATGTCAATAAATAAAGACTGTACATTTTGTTAAAGTCGAGAATATCATATCACTAAATAAAAATAATCATAAGCGTACTGCGTAGAAATGATACCTCAACTTCCTCTTAAAGCCTTTTATAGCATTAGTCCATAAAGATCTTATAAAAATACTAGTTGTAAAACTATCGCACAACGCTAAGGCTGATAGATAGCTGCGGCATTTCTCGATACCCCACGACGGTCACACTATCGCTGGTGTTTTTGTTTTGGGAATTCCAAAACGTCGCAGTTGACGATGAGCGATAATAACAACGCGTTGTCCACCAAGGAAGACGTTTTCGGCATGGAGCACGACCAGGACCACAGCAACAAGCACTACTCGCGCTGCAGCAGTGCGGGCAGCACTCACACTCCGAACTCCTCGGCGCACAATACAGGTGGGCGAACGCTGGTCAAGATCGGTTACGTGGGCGAAGAGAGTGGGGGGCGGGGGGCAGCTGATAAAGCACTGGCATTGAATTACTCGCTATCAGCAGCATTTTATTACATTGTACTGTGTCTGCGTCTCATGTTGCTATTCTGTATCACAGACGACGACGATGATAGCGGCGATGCGCGCCATTCCACGGCCACCAATTCCACGCTAAGTTACAAGGAGCGGAGAAGGGAGGCGCACACCCAGGCGGAGCAGAAGCGGCGGGACGCCATCAAGAAGGGCTACGACAGCCTGCAGGAGTTGGTGCCGCGCTGCCAGCCCAACGACTCCTCCGGCTACAAGCTCAGCAAGGCCCTGATCCTGCAGAAGTCCATTGAGTATATCGGCTACCTTAACCAGCAGAAGCTCAAGCAGGAGGACGAGGGATCGGCGCTTCAAAAGGAGGTTACAGCGTTGCGGATCATTAAAAACGGATACGAGAACATGCTGCAACATCAGCAGGCGAATCCAGGGCCGGAGGAGGCACGCCTCACCGATGAGTCCAAGTTTCAAGTGGTAAATATGGACACCCTTGCTCTATACAATTCTCTAGAATCATTTCCTCTCCGTAGTTCCAGGCCATCATGGAGGAAATGTTCGAGACATTTCAGCACATACCCATGGAGAACTTTAAGCAACTGACCACCGGCATTATCCCCTGGCTGGAGGAGCACTGCAAGCCGCACATCCTGCGCAACATCCTCAGTCGCACCTTGCAGCAAATGGCGCAGGAGGCTCTGGAAAAGCAGGAACTGCAGGCCATGGAACAGGAGTCGGGCGAGGGTTTCAGCTGATCGCGCGGTTAGTTCAATTTTCTCATTCGTTATTTTAGAAATCCCTGTTTGGTAGATACTTTCGTTACGTTTACTGCGTACAAACATTAAATGCGTCATTTGAATAGTTGTAAAAGCGTTGACAAGGAAATATAACTTTTGGCTTAATGTAAGATTAGATAAAACTAGATTTGCTAATGTTAACCAAGGGAATCGACGAGAGCCGCCTTATCCGTACTACCGAGCTGTCTAAGCAGTTCCAGCAACACGTTCCGCGTGTACGGCTTGAAGCGACGAACTCGCTCCGTGACATCCAGCGCTGTGAGCAGCTCTTCAAGGAATCCCTCCAGACGCCCCGCGCTCCACACATGACGTGCTTCGTGCTTGAGTTTCAGCACGCCCGAAGTCAGGGTGTAAATCAGTCCCTCGTAGAAGTTCTCCTCCTCCAGATTCGCGGCCAACTTGGCGCTGGCCAGCAGCGCCGCCGGCAGATCGCAGCGGAATTCGTGCGACCGCACAAAACAGGTGGCCGCCAGCTGGCGGACCTGATCACATTTGTGCCGCAACAAGCGCCAACTGAGTCGGCGGAACCGAATCAGCAGTGGATTCGGCTGCTTGCCGCCCGATGTACGCAAGTGCTCGACCTTGGACAGGAAGGCCAGAAAGAGTATTATGGAGGACGTGACCTCTTGGCGATCACAGCACCTCAGCATGTGCTCGCAAGCCTTGGGCAGCAAGCAGCCCAATTCGTCGTAGTCCAGCTCACTGGGTTCCCAAGCGGGACGCGTGTCAAACTCGGTGGCCTGGCGCTGTCCCACCAGCTTGCCCAGATTGGCGCCGAAAAGTTGGAGTGCCGCATTCGAAATGGTCCATTCGGGGTTGGTGATGTGCTCCATGGCCACCAGCAGAATCTCATTGTAGTACTTGCTCATAGCTGGCCTCAGTTCTGTGTCGCGCACGAGAACGCAAAGGTAATGCAGGACCAATGCCTCCCAGCGATCGTGCTTGCTATCAAGGGAAACTCTCTCCGCGGATCGGTTTTCATTTAGCCTCTTAAGAATTTGCTGCACAGCGCGATGGAGCAGCAGCCGCTGTCGTGGATTGTCGTTCTTCAGCACGTGGAGGAACATTATGGCGAAGCCGGCACCACGTCGCGTAGTGCTCACCTGACGGCTTTCCGTCAGTAGCTCCCGCTCGAGACAATCGTGCAGCATTTGGAAACCCGAATCGCTGCTCTCCAAGCTACTGGTGATGGCACGGGTAAGTCTGCCAATGCTCAAGCCGGCCGCCTCTATGGCTCCTTTGTGCCGGCAAAGCGTCAAAACAGACACATTGATGTTGAGGCATCGACGCAAAGCCTCGGTGTTTGCTGTACTGGCAGAGATTTGCAGTTGGGAACACCCAATGCTGGTGGCCAGATCGCAACAGCCCTACAAACGGTAATAGGATTGATTAGTTTATTAAAGGTTAGTATTTATAAATACCCACCTTCAAAGTTAACCAGAAGCTCATGAGTAAGTACTTCCGACAAGCTTCTTCCTCGCCATCGGACTTGAAGGCGCTTTCGCTAACCAGCAGCTGGAGACTCTCGTCCATGTCCTGGAAACTGGCTGCAGTGGCTGCCTCTTCCTGTCGCCGGGCGTTGGCCACATTGAGGAACTTGAGAATGCCGCCAAGAATTCTCTCTAGCAATGGCAACAAGTCCTCCAGAGGCGTCTCCACTGCCAAGCCAGCCTTGACCACCTCGTCCAATGCGCAAAGATAACCAAAGAGATGTCCTCCACTCTTGGCAGTCTGCAAAGGATCTTCGAAGAACGGATCTAATTGGCCGGTAAGCTGCTTCAGACATCCATCAAATATCTTTATTCCAGCCTGATCTTTTGTAACCGCCAATTGTGCGTAGAGGGAAACCAAGGAGCATTCATCCATATCAGATGTGTGGCACAGCTCGAAGCAGCGCTCCACACACTTTTCACAGTCCACATGGCCCATCTGAATGAGCAGAGACACAGTCAGGTCCAAAGCATCATCGAAACCTTGTGGATTGTTGAGGGTATCGAAGAGCTGATGCGCCATTTCCTTTGGTCGAAATACCCCGTGCTCCAGGAGAAATATTCCCATTTGCTGATTCTGCTGGGGACTGCACATTTTTGCATTTTTGGCGACTTGTTCTGCATACAGGGACCGATTCAGAATTTCCAGCAACTTGAGGGCAAAGATCTTGGGTTGATAAACCTCGCTGTGGATGTCCCGCTCAATCAGTTGCTGAAGATGTGAGAAGAATCGCTTGATATTCTGAGCCAATGCATGGCCACCCACTCCGCTGTCCGCCTTGAGCACCTTATGAAAGTGCTTGGCCGTGTGGTTGATAATCGTGGGCATCTTACCCAGCATCGTGTTCCGGAACTCTGAGCTCTCCAGGCAGCGATGTCGCTCTACAAAGCTGTGAAAGAAATCCAGGCAGTCCTCGACGGCAAAGTTTCCCAGATTATCAACCAGGAAACGAAATATTAATAGCTGCGCCTCCGTCTCCATCTGGCTGCAATTGGTCAACAGTTCAGTGCTGATCTTGAAGAAGTGCAGCTTAGAGGTGGCATATATCTCCTTGGCGAACATGCTAAAGATCAGAATCAGACGCAATTGATCGCCCGGCGACCTTACCTCCTCGGACGCCAGAAACTCCACAATCTGAGGATTTGCTTGCAGCAGTTCAAACAACTCCTCCCGCTGTTGGATGCGCAGGAACCACTGTGAATGAAAGTTCTGTATCTCGGCCACACTTCCGTTGAGCAGCAGCTCCACACTGGCGGCAAGTAGTGCCGGGGAGCGTTGGTTGCTCAAGCTTTTCACGGGATATTGACTGGCTGCCCGAAGTCCCTTATAGCTCAGGCTGAGCCTCAGGCCATTCAAGAACTCCTCTTCGCTTTGATTAGTGGCCGCCAAGAGATCAGGCAGGGAATGCGAGTTGAGAGCACCGCTCAGCAGGTAGTACTTGTTGCGATTCGTCCACGGCCAGAACTCCACAATCAAGCGAAAGTAGGAGAAAGCCCTTTCCGGCTGTTTGCAGCAGTGGTTGTAGAGCGTCAGCGTTTCCTCCCGGGATCCCGTTTGCGTCTGGCGTTGCAGGCAGTGATAGAAGTGCTCCAGCTTCAGCGGAAGGAGTTGCAGCTTGGGGAACTTCTTTACCAGCAAGTTTGTGGCCTTGAGCACGGCCATCAGGCTGGGATTGTTCCGCTGCAGAGCCTCAATTATGGCAGTGGTGCATTTTTCCTCCAGCAGCGCAGCATCCAGACGCTTCCAGTGGTCGGTTAGCAGAATGGATTGCAGCATCAGGAAGGCAGTGGGTTGCTCGCTGGTCAACCGCTGGAATAGATCCTCGAAGTGCGAGTCCCGCAGCTCATACTTGTGCACTATGTGGTAGTACACCCGGAAGCTGATATTCAGGGCGGCTTGGTTGGCACCGCTGCACGTGTCCGCCTGCGAAGCCTCATCCTCCTCCGTCTGGATTCGTTGGGCCAGCTGCAGTGCGGCATCCTCCGGGCGGACATCTCCCAGGCCCTGGAAAGCACACAATCTGTTAGAGCTTAGTTCCCGTGATGTACCCAATTCACCTGCAGGTAGGACAGGCAATCGCTGGGTCCGATTTTCGGCCGTTTTCCCGGAGACTCCGACATGCCCAAACTCAATTTTCGCGAGGGGCGCAGAACTTTCGTCTTACCCCAACCAGGGCTCCACAACACCGGCCGCAGCGCTGCGATAATTCACGATAATCGATAAGTCTTCGTTATCAAAAAAAAACTTGAACAATCGATAAGTCTTCGTTATCAAAAAACTTGAAACGCCCAACCGTTATTGATTAGAAATTAAGTTTCTAATTAATATGATATATTTAATTAAAACTATTTATCAATTATACAGGCATCAAGTCTTCCGTCACGAGACTCGGTATTTAACATTTTTGCTTTCATTTCGTAAGATGACCGGTACGGTTCACTAGGTACAGAGTACATGGTAGTGGGTACGTGGATGGGATACGGTAATTTTGGTACATAATTCTGGTACGACGTTTTGGTACAGGATTCAGGTACGAACTTTTATTGACGGTATTCAAAATATATTTATATATTCACAACTTAGATGTTATTAAAGCAATCTTTTTTAAAAAAGAAGATTTCAGTATAAAAAGGTTGTGTCTCATAAAAAGCGAGCAACTGTTTGACAAGGCCGATATAATAAATTCGATAGCAGAAATTTGCAATACGTACATACATATGTACATATGTAAGTTTAAAAGTCTTCTTGGCAACCAACGTTTTTCCGCTAAACAAAAAAAAAACATTTAAGAAGTGTAATTTGCAATCGGCTCTTTATTTTTGCAAGTGAGTGCTTTCTACAAATTTGTTCCATCAAACTGAACTATGTACATATGTATGTATGTTTTAATTCAAAGTTTGATATGATAAGAAAATGCATGTGTTTGCGCTCTTCGATTCGTTGCTTGCAAGGTTGCCCGCGTATTATTTATTTACATATTTACATGAAATTAGATAAACCGTTTGGATTTTCTTAGAACTGGTGCAATGCGTAATTAAAGCAAAAAAGAGGTTTTCCGCATTTTCCCAGCGCCGCTGCTGCTCATCCATAGAGGTTGCACTCGAGTTCAAGTTTCCTGTTCTGGCACCGCTCCGAGTTCGAAAAACTCCAGCTTCCCCGCAACCCATCTTTTCGACCCGCCCAATACTTGTAAATCTAGTTTCGACTTAAGCACATGGCTTTCAGATACGATACGAGATACAACCTATTCGCATTCTCAGCATCTGCCACCCCGAAAACTTCAAGGAAGCTCGGCTGAATGGGATTTTTTTGAACAAGTATTCAGCAGGTCGTTTATATACTCGTGTACACATATTGTATAATAAGAACTTCCTATTTCGCAAAGGGGTAGTTTCTCACCTGTAACAAGGATTCACGAAAACATTATTTACCACACAGCTTGACAGAAGTTCGGTTTCATATTGAGAATCCGATTTACAGTAGGCCCCCGTCGACGAGAACCTGAAATATGATACATAAAAGGCCCACGGAAATTTGATATCTTGGCTATTACACAAAAAAAGCAAGTTATTACAGTCGAGAGCGATTATCTGCGTTCACTTTGCTCAGACTACAGTGCGCACCAAAAGTAATCTCCCACAGGAACTTCAAAAGGGTATAGGAAATATGCTGAATTTTACTTACTATTTTAATTCTATTGAATTAATCTCAATACTCTGAAAGGCAACAAAACAAAAAATAGGTTTCTAAGCTCAGTTGTCGAACTGGTTAAAGTTGTATCCAAATTCACTTAGCCCGAAAGTTTCGAACCTTCAAACTGAGCACTCAATAACTTAATCTGCATTATTGGATCTGTAGATTAGAGATAGTCTGAAACTTTCCGCTCGTGTCTTCTTCATTTCACGGTGAATGGCAGTGGACGAGCGGAAAACAGAACTTGAAAAATCATTATACTCGATTTCAACATGTGTATACTACATACATACATATGTACATTAAAACTGTAGCTTTTTTGCAGTTTTTATATGCAGTGTGTGCGTGTGTGTGTGTGTGTGCGCGAACCCATAAATTTATATATTCCCCGAAATAACCCCGTTCTTAAAAAAAGAGCGGAATAAAAACGTAAATGGCAGCGAAAGAAGAAAAGGCAAAATAAAAAATAATAGGCAACTGTCTCTCCGGCAATCTCTCGCAATCTCAAAAACAACTAGCGACCATAACCATTATTTGTACCTTCCGAATACGAATACGAATACAAGTACGAACACGAATATATAACGTCGTAGCGCACACGCACACAAGCGCAGGTGGCCGTGTATATAGTTGGGTTTTTGTAGGCCCGTTCGTCGCTTTTTCGAGTTTTAAAAATTAGTATTGAAATCGTCGTTAACGGCGACGGTTTGCCTCAGTTTTGACGCTTGAAAACGGCTCGCATATTCCACTCTCTCGCCGCTCTCTTCGCTGGTAAGTGTGTGTGTGGTGAGCGTGTACGTGCGTGTGTTGGTGTGCAAGGTGTTGCTCCGCTTGGGAAATAAATAGTTCAAGTCGAATTATTTGAAACTTATTGGCAGGCATGTGCATTAAGTTATCAACCGTTGCCATTAACCGCTAATAGCGCAAATGCCATACAAAACATCACTTGTCAATGGATGTTATTCACTATGGAGGAAAGTTACGTTCTGTTCCTTTTTCTTGAAAATTCTCAACTGCACATAACAAGCGTAAATTCGTGAGCTCCCTCCGTCCGTGTGTGGGTGAGCCGAGCTGAGGCAAGAGAGCGAGAGAAAAAGAATTAGTTTCTCTCAGTGGCTCTCGCAAGCCCGCACACCACCCCTCGCTACATCTATCTGCTTATTATCGTATCTTTTTCAATACAGTGCTCTGCAGGCGATTTAAATTAAGTTGGCAATTACATTTCCGCCTCGGAATTCTGTACTTAGTGTGCAAGTTCGGAATTATTTGGTTAATTGGGGCTGCTAAGAAGGAATCTGCCTTTCACATCAAGTGATATATCATTCTGAAAGCAAGTTTTCGAACTACCCCCGACCACTGTGCGAATCTTGAGTCGTTGTCGCTGGAAAAATACTCAAAATTTGAGATTCGATTCTAGTTCCAACTCGCCACTATGAATCTTTATATGAAACTTCCACGCTTTCATTCATATTCGTTGTTTTGTACTGGCGTATCATCCTCCGAATTGTACGATGCGTAATCGCTTCTTAAAATTTGTATTTCTACGCTGTATACGGTATTCGACGCTATCTTGTTTACTTGCATTTGGAAATCACTATCTCGAAAATGTTCTGTTATTGAGTGTGTTCCTCTTGCCACTTTGTCGCAGTGTATCTGTGTGTGGGAGAGTTCGTTTTTTACGTTCGCTTTTTGCAGCCATTATTCGTTTTGAAATAATCAAAATCGATAAAAATTATATATATGTACATACAATAAGTTTCCTCGCTTTAGATTTGTAAGCTCTTTTCGTGCATTTATTTGGCTACGGTGAGCGTGTCGGTGAGCTGCCACCTTTGATGGGTTTCGATTTCGGTTTGGTTTGGTTTCGGAATGTGTTAAACAGTTGGAAACACGGCAACTTCACACAAACAAATGTGTATATGCCAGTAAATATCGAGTTGGTGGTGGATTCTGAAGACGAAAGCCGAAAACCGAAAGATAACCGAATCCACGACTGCTTGACTTTTGACACAAAAAGTCCAAACTGGATTTTTTCGCTGGCAGATAGCCAGCATTTTTTTTAACCATCTGCCAAGTGAATTTCGGGTGGGTTGGAGTATATGTACATATCAAACGGAAGCCGATTTGCTGATTGAAAAATAAAAATCCGAATCAAGTTTTCCTGCAGTGAATCATCTGTTCATAATATCTGTCATTTATGTAACATCATAGATGTGAGTTTGGAAATGAATCGTAGCATACTTTTAGAGTACACAAAAATAAATTTCGATTGGTAAAACAAAAAAGTTATAGTAATTTCTAGGCCAACTATATATTTGCCTGATTTTGCCATGTTGTACTACATAGATTGTGCTCTAACATTCCAATTGATTGACAAAGTGTTCAAAGTCGGTAACCTGCATTTTCAAGTTTTTCAAAACTGGTTACGACAGGTGTCAAATCGATATTTCGTTTTCAAGTTTTCAAAAACCAATTTTTAAAACTAATATTGAAATATTTGTTCACATATTTTCCCACAGCTTCGGCGATTTTGGAACTTGATTAAAGGGTGAACCCTGAGAGCCACATCCATGTTAATGCCACGCTATTTGGATAGCTCCTCGTCGTCTGGCAGCCACGGAGCTGCAGGAGCGACCAGCAGCTCCTCCTCTCCGCCGACGACGGTGGCCGCTCACACGAAGATGCGGCTGCTGAGCAAAGTGGAGCACAATATGCGTCAGAGCCAAGGTCACATCCAGAGCAATCCGAGCGGCCAGGACATCAACCACCTCCTGCAAACGGCCTCCACGGGCAACGGCGTGGTGGACGATGTCGACGGACTGCTGATGCCCATGCGCATTAAGGCCCACATGTCGCCACCCTACTCTGCCGGCAGTTCCGTCAAGAGCGACTCCCTCAGCTTTAGCTCTCGGCCGGAACGCAACCTGTGGAGCCGGGCCGAAATGCTGGAGATGCTGAGCATTATGCAGAACCTGAACGCCCTGGAGCAGCTAAATGACCGCAACATGAAGAGCGAGCAGGTCTTCCGGCAGATTGAGGAAGTGATGCGCAGCAAAGGCTACGTAAAGAAGTCCAGCATTCAGATCTGGACAAAGTGGAAGTTCCTCAAGTCCACGTACAACACAACAACGCGTCATGGTACGGGAGTGCCCAAGGTGGTGCCGGAGGAGGTTTACCGCGTACTCTGTCGAATGCTAAGCGATTCTAATCAGGGCGGCACCAGCAGCAACGTCAACGGCAGCCTTAGTGAATGTGGAAATTCGATGGACAGTTCCAAAACGGCGGCCGAGGATAACAAGGAGGATATTCTCGGTGTGGAGCATCCCATATTCGGCTTCCGGCTGGGACCCATTAAACCCGAGCCAATTGATATAGGTGAGTGGGAGTGTCAAAATGAATGATTGTTGAGATTCCCATAACTAAGGAAATAAAAAAGGGATTATTGATGACGAACCTTTCAATGTTTTGCAGGCTATGAAACGACCGAAAAGCATGATATGGTGTCCGAGCCCGATATGGAGTCCTTCGACTACGAGGCTGGAAGTTCCCATGCCGACAACGGCGACCAAGAGGATGTGCCCCACACGCCGTTTATAGTGTCCGTTAAACATGAACCCGACATGGATCTGGGCATGGACACCACCAACACACCGCCGCCCACTGCGCCAGCCTCGCCCTCGCCGCCACCTGTAACTCTGGATGAAACCGACGATGAGAGCGTCTACTCATCCACGCCGGTGGCACCGCCTCCCCTGCGTGTGGCCTCCTTTGCCAAGGACGAGGTGCGACGACCCACCCACGGCATTCTGCAGATCGACCGCCCGCCACCGACGCTCACCAAGATGGGACAGCAGCTATCCAGTCCGGGCCAGACAAGCCGATCCGTGCCGCTCCCGAGCACTAGCAGCATCAATTTTGTCCACCCACACAGCAAGTTAATGCTACCCAGGAAGCAGAACCCGAATAGCAGTCAATCCGGGCTGCGTGTGCCCAGGGATATAAGTGTTCAGCCGACAGGAATGCGCATGAAGACAGTGCCAATGAGGGATACGGGCTACTCGCTGCGTCCGGAGCGGATGATTCCCGACATCGATCAGTCCGGGTCCAGTCCACCGCAGTCGCCGTCCACAATGACCGGTCTCATGGGACGCGGACCGCCACCGAAGTATCCGATGGCTGGGCAACAGGCGGGTGCTTCCACCAGCAGACAGGCTCAGATGATGTCTTCCCACCAGTTGACACCGCTGCAGCACCAACAGCTCCAGCCACGAAAGCGTCGACTGGGCCAAAGTCCGGTGATGGGGATGCCCGTGCCGGTAAAACTGCAGCGCAGCAGCAATATGTACGGTTCAGTTCCGAAAGACATCCGATCTCACCCTGCGATTGGTGAGGAAAGCAAAAAGAAGTCCAGCGAGGAGGACACCAAGCAGCGCAGGAAGCGTCAGGACGAGCTATTGGCCAAAGAACTCAGCCAACTGGCTTCTGCCATGCGCGTGGCACAGAAGGAGATGTTGCAGGACTTCTTTTTGCAGCAAAAGGAGATCGCACGGCGGGAGCACGAGTTCCAGATGAAGCAGGACTCGTTCGTGATGCGGACGCTGCGCAGACAAACAGATGCGTTGTTAAGAACCGCCAACGAGCTGGTCAGTGGAGTTTCAGAGGCAGCTAAAATGGAACGCGAGGATAAGGACGATGTCATTCCCGAAACTCAGCTGCCGTTCGAGCCAGAAACCGAGCTTCAAACTCCGGAAAGCGAGGAGGATAATGAAGATGGAGAAGGGGATGCTGATGACGATGTGCAGGAAACTATGGGAGAGCCAGAAGATGAAGACAATGAAGATGATTACGACCACGATGAGGAAGAGGATGACGATGGTGACGACGATGAAGAGAACATGGCCAATGACAGCGACCTGGAAATGTCCACTCTGGCCATGTCCGAGGGCTCCAACAATGTGGAAATCATTAGCGGAGAGCAGTAGATGGCATTTTCCCAACTTTCCAACACATCTCCAAGTATTACCCCAAAAAGACAAACACCATTGTTAATACCGATTCATTCCAATCGCATTCCTTAAGCTATATATACTAAATATATATATATTCCTAGAGCCAGACCCGCGCATTGTTAAAAGACTTGATTATATTTAAGCATTAATACATAAATGAAACCTAAAGTAAATTAAAATGTATTTATTGTTCATCGACCGTCTATGCCCCAAAGTGCTGTAAAGTTATTGAAACCACAAAATACTTAGGTAACCATATGATATATATCAAAATATATATGTACCTTGTACACTAACAGAAGAAGTGTGAATTTGATCGGGAATCGGAAATGGGCTTGTAATCATTAGTTCAAAAAAATTCATGTGGTACAATTTGATATGAATGCAGTTAAAAAAAAACACACAAATACATTTAAATTTCCTACCAAGAAATTTATTAAATAGTATTGCATTAGTTTGGGAAACAAATAAAAATTTACAACTAACGAAATCGGGAAAAGTAGAGCGCCCTACAGTTACGAAAAATCAATCTTACCGCCTAAAGTTCTTGCAAAAATTTGTTATTAACCAAACAAATAATCAAATAATACTAGCTTAAAATGACAATCTGCGAGTGCACCAAATTAGGAAATGCCCGTTTTGTGTGCTATGCCTGCCTGTCCTATGGATTAGTGTACTTCTACTACTCTCTGCTGATTAGCACGATCCGTAAACGCCTAAAGCAAAGTGTTAGCAGCTAGTGTTTATTTTACAATTACCATTACGACCCCGCGATACCGTGCCCACGCCCCTCCTCCTATCCCGGCACTTAGTCGGGCCGGTAGATGGGCGTTTTGGGTATAAATTCAATTAAAATAACATACTCCATCATGGAATTGGAATCACATTGTTGCTTATGCAGTCGCCAGTGCAGGCCCAGCTTATGATATAGATGATTATTCTCCCATTCGAACAGCTTGTCCAGTGTGAGTTGTGTCTGCAAAAGGAAAGGATTTAAGCTAGGATCGTAACAGATTTTCCAGATTTATCTTAGGCTTACGCGTTTGCTGAGACAGATGACAGGCCAGAGGGAACAACCGAGCGTGCAGCAACAGCAGACGCAGCCGCAGAAGAGCCATTTGACGTTGACGGGCAGGGATTTCTTCAGCACTCCGTTGATCCGGCCCACCGTCGCCTTGAACTCCTCGGGAGCCACTCGCGACAGCAGACCGCAGGGAAACTCCGCGTTGAAGCGGTTGCTCAGCCCGAACCTGCAAGTGTGCAAGTGAGAAAGTTAGAATTGGTGTGGTAATGCACTATTTGCCCTGACTCATCTCTTATGCAACCTTCCTGTAATTGACTGCTGGGCAGCAAAGCCGCCTTCACCCATAAATTGGGTCAAGCGATATCGATAGCAAAGTGCAGGGCCTAGATGGAAATTAGGTGGCGGTAACCTTGAACTACTTTTTAAATAGGTCCACGAAGCAGTTGTAGCAATCAATGCTAATAGCATACACCTATGGTCGAATCACTAATTCGTCTTTTTTCTGTATCTGCATAATTTTCCATTTTGTAGGCAAGAAAAATTATTCAATGCATTGTTAATTTAATGGTTTCTTGGCCCACACTTGTAAATATATACAAAGAGCCTGTTAAGAGCATGGAAGTAATCTATACGATCTCTATAGCATTCTATCCTTCATTTATTCTTTCACTGCATATTACTATGGCTCTTCCGCTATTAGTTTGCCCGCAGTTGTGTGATCCACCATTGACATGTGTAAAGAGCTGATAATGGTATTGTCTTTTTGAATGAGGCTACACTCTTAACTACTCTAGCTATCTGTTTTCGCGCTTATCACGCCGTACATAGTTCCACTTACACCGTCATGTTGCCCGCGCCGCGTATGATGATGGGCTCCTGGACCGGCGCCACCGTTTGGTCCTGGAAGTGCTCCAGCTCGTCCAGCTGCTCATCCTCGTAGATGGCGTCGAAGTCGGAGAAGGACATGGTTGGCCGTGTTTGTGGATCTTGTGCCTGCTATGAAGGGCTGATGGGGTGATGCGTCGAGAACGGGTGACTAGGTGACCAGGGAGAACAGAAAAGAGCAGCGGGCGCTCCAGCTGTGCCGAGTGGGAGGTCAAAACATGTTGCTGTCTGCCGTTGCTGGCGGGGATCTGGGTGTTCCTTTAGAGCTGTCCTTCAATCGCAGATTGACACTGCTGCTTCCGCCATAAAATGTCGACGACTGCCGCGCTTCCAAGTGATGTGATTATGACGTCTGGCCTTCTCTGTTGACGCAAATGCGTGGGCGAAGCGGGTGGCGAGTGGTGGTTGGCGGGGCGTTGGTGGGCGGCATTCAAAATAAAGTGCATATTAAAAAACAATAAATGCAACGCATGTGCGTGTGTGTGTGTGGGGATTGTTTCACAACACTGGCCGCTGTGTGCACTTTGTTGTTGCTTTTTCCACAGGAGCGAGCGGGAGGGGAAGAGACTCCAAATACAAAGGAAGGCCAGATAAATGTTTGCGTTCCATTAATGGGCACTAAAATTGGAATTTCCCACTCAAACAAATATCGTTAAAAGCAGAAACCACAACGTAAATGTTTTGTTTTTCCCCACACACACAGAGCACCAAATCACACACACACACCTTGCAGCGTATTTCGCAATCACTTTTATTCCACGTTAAGTTGTTCTGGTGTAAGCACGATCGGTTTTCTTGTTTTTCCTGTGGCTTGGGACTGTTTTCGATTAATTCCGAGCAGAGACTACAACTTATACACGCTTTCTACGTTTTCCGAATACGAAAATTCACTGCTCAATTTGTTGTTGCACGACCACGACGAACAGCTGGCCGACCAGGGCTGCCAGGCTGTTGCGTAGGTGGCAGCTCAAAATTTTAAAATAAATTGTACACAGGTGTTTTTTTTATTAATGCTAATACTTATGCAAATAAATCATTTCAGAATTTAAAAAAAATGGCACTATGTTGTAAGTTATGCAATTTGATCACGGCTATTTTGTTAAACGACCTTTAACTGCAGCTGGCTTAGCAGTGTTGCCAGCCCGTTTCCCTTTTCAAATTCTTCAATTGCGATGGGGTAATATTGATTTATTAATTATCTATATAAATTAATTACTTTTATGTATAAAATACATAGCGCGCCATAAGCTTAAGCCTAAACAAATACAAATTCGACGATTGGGCAACTGAAATAACATTGCAATAGCTTAATTTCGAGTGTTACAGATTAAAATATACATATATAGCTCTAGCGTGAACGAGAAGGCATATTTGAGAAGGTTTTTGGTTTCCAGTACCGGTGGATCGATGGTCACAGAAGATTACTTCTTTTTGGCCGCACTGGGACTGGTGGACTGGAATACCGATGAGGCTGACATCAGGTTCTCTATGTACTGGCCGAGCACCTGGTTCTCGGAACGCAGCTTGAGATTTTCCTCTTTGACGGAATCGACGCGTTGCGACAGGTCGTCCAGGGTGTTCTGGAGCTCCAGGACCTGCGTGATGAGGCGTGCCTTCTCCTCCCGATCGTCCTGTGCCATTTCCATGGCCTCCAGCGAATTGTGCGATGAATCTGGCGTGGAACTCCGGTTGGTGAACGAGGAGCGCAACGAGTCCATGGACCTTCCACTAGGCATTCGTCCCGTCGCCGGTGGCTCGTCGTCCGGAATGACCACTGCGTTTTTGGGCGGATTAGCAATTGATAACATCATCACTTGGGACTCCACCCACTCCCTTCAGATTTCACTTACCCTGTGGATCCTCGTCCATGTTGGGAATGCTGTCGTCATTATTTAACAGGGACATGACTGGCAGTGTTCAAGGGTACTCTTTATTCTTTTAAACTTTAACTCTATTAACTTTTGCCAAATTTCTCTAAACAATTGACACGAAAAATAAAACTACCCTTTGGGAGATTGACCAACACTAGCTGGTGGCGCTGCCGTTGATTAGTATGCGCGGCATTTTCCAATACTAGCATAAGTTTAAAGCGAAGAAGAAGCAGCCGCCTTTTGTAATCTTTTGACAAATATTCTAGATAAAATTGCTAAGTAAATGTGCGGCTTAAAATATCTCCAACCTTTTAGTGGGCAAACACTTTTCGTTTTAAGTTTACCAAGAAGCTAAGTCGCTTTGTTCGATATTGGGACATTTTCCTTATTAAGTTGCTTTATGACATTAGGTACCTGTAAATCCTGCTTATGATATGCATTTAAGCATTTAAGACTGCTTAACAACCCGTTTCCAAAACATTTTGCACCAAACTTGGAAGACAGCGTTTTTATTGACCATTTTATTTCCGCTTTTTCAAAATAACCGACAACAGGCGCACACGAATCGGCGACCAGAGTTGCCACCTGTGACGTTCGATCATAGAAATTAAAATACACACATGCTTTTGCAGTTTTTAATATTGCTGAACGACAGAACGCTATAGTTTCGCTGGGCGTGCGGATTGTCTCGAGCTGCTTTAGTTTGCTTACCTGGTGAAAAGTGTGCTTGAATTGTTCAGTTTTTCCGCCCGATTTCATTGGGCATTCGTTTTTGCCTGCATTTACGAGGTCGAACGAGCATTAACACCCTCGCAGCAAACAAACTGCAGTTCAATCGAATCATACAGATAAAGCAGGTAAGCGTTTATATCCTGGCCCACCTTTCGACACTTGCAACCTGACTATCTGAAGTTTTCTCATTCCAGCTGCACACGGCCAGCGAGCAGCATCCCGATATCCTGGTTTCCGCCTCCTCCGAGGCTGTACATTTCATTTCGCTCCGCGGGCAAAAAGGAATCGCGTGCGGGTAAGTCAACAGTTGGATTCTGGCAATGGGCGCTCCAGACTCCCTGAAAGTGGAAAATCTAGACTCATTCCCTGGGCTCTTGCCCAAATCCCTGGCTGGTGGTTCATCCGCACCAAGATAAGAGGTTTCTGTTATTGTGACATTGGATGGGGCTGCTACGTAACATGGGGCTGGGAGATCGGATCGGTTGTATCATCCAGGGCTTACATATGCGGTCATAAGGTGGGATACAAAGCCCAGGGGAGCTTTTTATAGGGACAGGTCATTTTTGAGATAACATAACTCTTTGGGCAGCATAACTAAAAATGGTATCAAAATTCAATATATGTTCAGTGTGACCGTACCAGGGCAATGGGGTTTTGCCCAATGGCCGCGGGTAAATTGTCAAAAAATTAAAGTAAAATCAAGCCATAAAACAGATCAAGCTAGGAAAGTGAATAGTGCAGGTATTGCAACATATAATCTTCGGCTTTTACAAATGGTCCATTTTATAGTGTCAGATGGTTCTTGGTTTTCACGGCCACAACTTTGCAAGTTCCAAAGAAACTGCTACCTGCTGGTTATTTTCTAATTACCAAACTATTGCAGCTTAAAATCCTTTTATTGCACTGAAAACTAAATCCAACTTAAACATTTTCAGGTAAAAAACAAAACCAAAGTAACCGTAAATATTTAAAATAAATTCGCAAACTGCGGATTTAAATACCAACTGTTGGTATATTGCCAGAACCAAGAAACACACATGAGTGCAACAAAAAACGCGCGAAACAATAACTTTAATTCAAAAACTTAAAAACCGCTGCAAGTTTTATAAATACAGAAGTGATTGCGGAATAGACGTATATAAAGCACAAATCAGACGATAAAGACAATTGGAAATCGGCAAAGAGTTTTGTGAAAAGGGGGAATACAAAAAAATACTAACGCGGGTGCAGAGTGTAAAATGCCAAAAACTTTTGTGCGCCTCAACGTACAAAAATTGTAAAGACGCGAATATAGTTTCGATTTCCGCTGGGAAAACCCAAATACAAAGCCCTTGGGATAAACGACTTAAAATGCTGCCATTGTCGTTGGCCAGCGCGGAGGCCAAGCAGCTACAGCGCGATATGTCCATCTCCATGTCGCCAGCGAGTGGAGGAACCATCGCTCCGGCCACCGCGAATGGAAATGGTGTTGCCTCAGTGGGCGGCGGAAATCCAAATCCTAACAGCCTCCTCGCTTCCCTCAAGGAGGAGCTGCGCTTCCTGCCCCTCTCATCCGTGGGCGGCAACAAGACCTGCAACATCACCATCAGCAATGTCCAGCCAATGAAATCCAAACTGACGGCGGTCAACATCGTGCCAAATTCCATAAAGCCCGCTGGAGCTGTCGCCACTGGTGGAGCAGCAGCTGCTCCCCTGTTCCAGCTGTTGCCATCGGCTAGTAATACCAGCCAGCCGTTGGTGGCCATTCTTACACCGAATCGCAAGACCACGCTACTCGGCGGAAGTGCATCCAATCCCCAACCGGTGGTCATACGCTCCGGAACACCTTTGCACAAGAATAGCCTAACCGTTGACACCAGCATCACGCCCGCGCAGCCAGGAGGATCGGGTGCAGCAGGCGCTATGGTTGCCGGAACTGGAACTGCAGGAGCACCTTTAACGCTCGTGGGCAAAACGGTCGTGCCACCGAAAATACAAACGGGTAAGTAGGGTTTCCCCTCTTCCGAGTTATGTAAGTTATGAGTTAGAAATGGCTTGGTTTCCCAGTCGCCAGCCGAAGAAGTGGAAGAGGAAGAGCAGATCCCCAGATCCGAGGCCAGTCGGAAAATGGGAAATACTGTTGCAAGTGTGTGTGTGTCTATGTGTGTTTGCGTGTGTGTGTGTGTGTGTGTGCGTGTGGGGTGCGGGGCAATCTTTATAGTTTACTTTCGTTGTTCACATCGCTCTGCGGGTTTAGTTTTTAGTTGTTGTTCGACTGCTGCACATTTCATAACACCAATTTAATAGGGTTTGTGTGCGTGTGCCATTTTCGGAAATAAGTTCAACCATCGAATTGAGTTCCATGGATGGGGCGGTACGAATTGGAAAATAAACATCAAGAATTTATTGCCATTTTCAATATATATGGTGTATATATGCTGGTTTTATCAATAGCAGTATGCAAAAGGCGGGGTGCCAGCGAAAACAACAACAACAGCAGCAGAAGCAAAGCGACAACGATGATGACGATCAGGTTTTTGCAGCTGCAATAAGAGGAGGAGAAGATTTTGGATCAGCAATCAATCGGAGCGCAGGGGGTGCGGTGATGCGGGGATCGGGTTCGGGTTCAATGGAGGATCCAATCGGATTGCCTTCGGGTGACTAATTAAAGAAAACTCAAAGCTAATTCGTGTCTCTCTGTCTTCTTGCTCTCCATTTGGATGCATCCGTGCAGCAGCACCTGTCCAGATTCCCAGCACGGGTCCGGGTGCGCAAATCTCCCTGCTGGCCAATCCCCTCAAGCCACGTGCTCCACTCATACTCAGCAAGGTGGCGGTGGACAAGCTGCGTATAAAGTTCAACCAGGTCAAGAACAATCCGAATGCCCTCGTTCTCGGCAAAGCCAATCATGTGAAGAAACTTCTGCCATCGCCGAAACCCAGTGGCGAGGATAAGACCAGGAGCACCCAAAACAACAACAACAAACATACTAATAGTGCCAGCCAACTGAAAGCAGTTGTTGCAGCGAAAACGATGCCCGTTGTCACGGAGGAGCCGACCACCAATAACAACAACATGAGCCTGATTAAGGCCAAACCCGTGGCCATGAAGGCAGTTCCGCTGCCCAGTCAGGAATCGCCCAATGTGCCGGCAGTGGCGCCAGTTAGTACAGTTCCAGAGAAGGTTGACGTTAGGCCCACTTCAAAGCCCACAACCAAGACAACACCCAAACCAACTCCTAAACCTCTGGAAACTTCCACAAATGGCCCAGCTAAGGAGAAAAAGTTGCCTGCCAAGGAGCAGAAACAGAAGCCAATGGACACCCTGCAACTGCAACCACCGGTGACCAAGGAAATCACTCAACTACCGCCGTCTGTGCCCAAGGATTTACCCAAGCTGAAGCGCTCCAAGTCCTTCGTGTCCAACCATCCCCCTTCTCCAGTGGCCAGCAACGAGCGTCGTCATTCGGTGGCCATTATGGCCAAGGAGGTGGATGTGATCGAGCAGCCCAGTGCGCCCATTGAAACCATCACCATAGACGACGACGATGAGAGCGAGGAGGAGCAGCAGAAGCCGGAAAAGGAGACACCGAAGCAGAAGCAGATCACAATGCCCATTCTGCCCGCAGGGATTACCATTTCCACCACCAGCAGACCGGTGGCCAAAAAGAAAGCCGTGAGAAAGAACTCCTCCGTGACGACAATCTCTTCCAGTGCCAGCGGCAGTTCCTCCAACAGCGATGTTGAGGAGGTGCCGGCCAAGGGAATCGGGGAGGAACTGAGTCTGCTGCCTGGCATAAGCATCATCAAGGCGGAATCTCTGCCCCTGAGCAGGGAAGACTTTGAGCGCTCATTGCGCTGCGATGAGCAGGTGCCCCAAACTCCGCCCAAGTCCTCCTCCTCCTCCTCCTCGAGCGTCTCAAACGCATCGGAAACATCGCCGCCGCCCAAATTAGCAGATCCGAAGCCACCACGTCCTTCGGTAAAGAACGGAAAGAGAGCCCACTACCATGATGTGGTTCCATCTCCTGGCAGCAAGACCAATGCCTTTAAAAGGGGCATGATGCAGAACTTGACCATGCTGAAATGGCGCGGCCAGCAGCCGGCCAACCTGCAGAACTCCACCATCCGGTTCGAGCTGAACCAGTTCAACCTCCTGCAGATAAACGAGCGTTGCCAGCCGCGCCAAGGACCAGCTGCATACTTCGAGCGGCCTCTGTATGATCGTCCGGGTCGCAGGCCCGCGGGCAGCATCCATCCGCTGCTCTATTTGTGCCAGCGTTGCAATTGCCACGGTCCCGCCGCCGACTTTCTGGCACCACGTGAGTAAAGAGAGCATTTTCCAAAGGCCTTAATCTCTATATATATTATATATTAAATTCTCCCACAGATTTCTGCTCCGTTGCCTGTGTGCGTCGATCCCAGAAGCGCCGTCTGCCGTTGAGCACCCAGAAGGACAGCAAGATAAGCCGTACCCAACTAGAGCAACCAGCTGGAACAGTGCCAGATCAGCCACAAAAGCAGCAAGCTAACTACAAGCCCCAAACGAAATCTCTATCTGCCATACAAGAACAGCTGCAGCACCGTCAAAAGGATAAGGCTAGGAAGCCATTCCGCTGGAGCGAGTACCTCAAGTCAAAGGGAAAGGATGTGGCAGCGCCCATCCACCTGTTCCCTAACCCGTTCCCCATCAGTCCCAACTGTTTTGAGCGCGGCATGAAGCTGGAGGCTATCGATCCGGAGAACTGCTCCCTCTTCTGTGTCTGCAGCATTGTCGAGGTGCGTGGCTATCGGCTGAAGCTTAGCTTCGACGGCTACTCCTCCATGTACGACTTCTGGGTGAATGCCGACTCGCAGGACATCTTTCCGCCAGGCTGGTGCGATGAGACAGCACGCGTTCTGCAGGCGCCCAGGGACTACAACTCGGAACGCTTCAGTTGGACCCGCTATTTGGTGAAAACGGGCGGCAAGGCGGCTCCGCGGGCGCTCTTTACTCATTTGAATATGCAGCAGCAGATGGGAGTTCGCAACGGATTCGCTGTGGGCATGCATCTCGAAGCGGAGGATCTGAATGACACGGGCAAGATTTGTGTGGCCACAGTGACGGATATTCTGGACGAGCGTATCCGAGTCCACTTCGACGGCTGGGATGACTGCTACGACCTGTGGGTACACATCACCTCACCGTACATCCATCCCTGCGGCTGGCACGAAGGTCGCCAGCAGTTGATCGTTCCGCCGGACTACCAGAAGTCCGCGTTCAATTGGGATGACTACATATCAGAGGTTGGAGGAATGGCCGCCTCAAAGGAGCTGTTCACCCCACGCCAGCCAATGGAGTACCAGGCACGCATGAAACTGGAAGTGGTTGACCAGCGTAATCCCTGCCTGATTCGTCCGGCCACTGTGGTGACGCGGAAGGGTTACCGGGTGCAGCTTCACCTGGACTGCTGGCCCACGGAGTACTACTTCTGGCTGGAGGACGACAGTCCGGATCTGCACCCCATTGGCTGGTGCGAGGCCACCTCGCACGAACTGGAAACTCCGCCTGGCTATCTCCAGACCAAGTCCGTGATGCCCTGCGATGTGGAGGGTTGTCGGGGCTATGGCAACGCCAAGCGCTTCAATCTCAATGTGCATGCTTTGCGGGATTGCTGTCCGTATGCGCCGGAGAATTGGCGTCAGTGGCGCTCCAAGACGGTCAAGCCAGCGCGTGTGGCGCCCGAGAATATCAGACGTGGATGGGCGAAGAAATCAAAGCGAGCCAATTCGGAGGCCAAGCAAGCCATTAAGGATGAGTCCCATCAAGAGGCTTTCCAGCCGAAAATTGCGGCAAAGGCCCAAGCCAAGCGAAAGACGACGCCTCCACGCCAGGAGAAGGTTGTGAAAAAGCAAAAGCAGGATGCGGAGCAGGTGCCAGATGAACGATCCCTGGCCATAGCCAAGTCCTTTGTGAAGGACTATGGACCACAGTTCCTGCAAAACTATCGCCTCTGGCAGCAGAACAGCGCCTTTGACTTGGACGAGGTGCGCTCCAATCCGCTCCACTGGACCAGCTGGGATGTGTTCGAATTCATAGAGCGTGCCCTGAATTCCACTGACATTGCCAAGCTGATTCTCGACCAGGAAATCGACGGCAGGGCGCTGCTGATGCTGGGGCGCCAGGAGTTGGACAAGTACCTGAAGCTTAAGGTGGGCCCGGCCGTGAAGCTCTACTCCCTGATTGTGAATCTGCGCATCGCGGTCGTCTGCAAGTTTGGTTCCAATACCACTGGACTGGCGATCAATGCCGATGCTCCGATTCTCGGGGAGGACACCCCTCTTTCTGCGCCGCAGGAGCAGTCCCAGAGCAACGGCTACAAGACGGACCACGACCAGGAGTCCTCCGACAGCGGGGACGACGAGGACGTGATGCTTGACAGCGATGACTTTCTGAGCGTTAAGCCGAGCCTGGTGATTGACGAGGACGCCGATGGTGATGCCGAAGCCGACGCAGACGCAGACGCCGATGTGGTGATGGTGCCTCTGGAAGTGCGTATGCCTTTGCGCACGGCTTCCTAGGACTCCGTACACCAGGCATCCCGCTTCCGTTGATTGATTTGTAAGATTATTTTGTTGCACCGGCCTCGGCCCATTCGGGTATTATGTTTATAGGTAGTATTTATTCTATAAGCCGATATGAATTCGATTTTGTTTGTTTTTTGCCCCCTCATCCAATAAATGATCCCTCTAGATATGTAATGCATCCTGTCTATATCCTTGGATATACCAACTTGGCTGAGCTTATTCCCCCGCTGAAGGTTTATCATCTTCGGGCAGAACTATGGTGCCATCCACTTCGAAGAGGACGTGGTCGACCAACTGGGTCACCTCAACGAACTGTTGGAACTGCTCCATGTTCTCGTAGCGCAGGTTGTTCACCTCCTGGTAGTTCTTCAGCGAGGTCAGCAGCTCGTGGTCGGAAAGAATTCCATCTTTCTTCAGGATTATCATCAGAGCCTTTAGCTCCTTTACGCTCAGCTTGAGGAACGAGTTGTCCTTGAGCACCTGGGTGGCTACGGGCAGAATTTTCTGGAAAGGCATAGGCATTAAGCAAGATAAAAGTATGGGAATTCATACTTTCGCCACGAGATCCATCAGAGCCGGATGGTTGTGCTCACTGGCCAAGTGGAAGATCTGCAGAACCACCTCAATGGGCCAGTCCTGGTGGGCCAGCTTGTCGATGTAGCAGTCGATGAAGTCCAGCATCTTGTAGCGCTCGGCCAGCAGCATGAGGTCGCCACACATGTCAATGGTGACCGCATTGCACACCTCGTACGTGTAAATGTAGAGGAGCAGCGCCTCGTAGGCGGTGGAGGAGGCATCTTCCACGCTGATCACTCGCTTGTTCTTCTGGAACTCGGGATCCCGGATCAGCCGCTCGAACTCCTCGGAGGCGGAGATGAGCATCACCTGGTGGCAGCGGAAGATGCATGGACAACACTTACCCTCCTTCACCTTTTCCGGTTGCCAAACGTGGAGCTCGCAGTCCGACTTTTGGCCATTCCGCAACAGGTCCAGGCGGCGTAGCTTGCAGTTCATAGTGACTGGGGATTTTATAGGGGCTTTGTTCTCACATAGCACACAATTTGGAATTCGAAATTGGGGTTTCCCTGGCAGGAATGTCAGACTCTGAGAAAGAGGCCACCGGCGGAACCCACCAGGGAAGCACCAATGGGTGGGCCGACCTGGAGGAGGAGGCGGATGACCAGGAAGGGATCCATAGCTTTACACCATCGCGCAATGCCAGTGCGGTAAGCTTGGGACCGGAACTGGTGGTACCCAGAACCACCGCTGTATTTGATATTGAGGAGGATATCCCAGCGGGATTTTCGAATGATGGAACCAATCGCGCCACGAGTAGAACCCGTCGACTGGAATACTTTCGCAGTGGTGCCGATGCCGATTGCCAGGTGCACGTTCTGAGCAACTGCCCCCAATCCGAAGAGCCGGCGGTCAGTGTGTGTTACAAAAAGTTTGGATGTCACCGGATCTTCCTGGCCACCGCCTCCGACAAACTGGAGCAGGACGTGTACCAGAACAAACACTGGAACGGCGTGCTGCAGATCAATGGGGTTTCGCCCGAGAGCGTGGAGATCTTCCTGGAGTTTATATACACCTTTGAGGTGACCTCGCCGCTGGTCCAGCTGAAGCTGGTGGGAGATATATTCATCCTGTCCTGCGCCTACAACATGCCGGAGCTGCTCCGCTCCTTTGCAGAGAAACTGGGGCAACAGGAATGGCCTCCAGATGGGATCTTTCCGGCCTTCGACCTGGCATTCCGGCATAACATCATCGATGTGGAGCGGGTGTGCATCGAGGTAGGTACATTGGAATACAAAATGACTCTTACTAAGGTAACTATCCTTTAGAAAATCGTGGAGGAAGGTGCATCTTTGATACAGGAACCCAGTTTGATGAAACTCCCGGTGTATGCCTTAAACTACGTCATCCAGCACTGGCTCGTGGCGGATGCAGTGCCTCCGAATGAGCTCATCAAGGTATTGAAGCAGTACCAGGAGATCAATGGGATAACCTTTGCCAATACCCAAAAATTCCCACACTTCACCAAGATTATCAAGTATTTTCCCAATGTTCTACTCGATGCCGAGGGGTTTATCAATCAAAACTAGATAATTAGGGGAAATCCCAAAGATTCTTGAATAAAACCCACTTTATTTAAAGAAATCCAATAAAATATCAGCTTTCAATAGCTTCACATTGGCCGCCCTTGGGATATGGCGAACTGGAAACTGATCTACGAGAAGCATGAAACGACTGACTGAACGCTACTCATATTTAAGTTATTAATTTCAATAATTTCCAATTGATCAAAAGTGCCAAAAATTATAGACACATTTTTCAAAAAGTCAAACGACCAGCGCTGCCAACCCGTTGCACTGCCTACACTGGTATTTTTAATGCCCCATTTTCGGTATTTTTCGGCATATACCAACCGAAAACCGAATGCGTTATGCGAGGGCCGCATTTGGTACACTGGTGCGCCATTTTACTCACATAAAGCCGAAAATTCACACAGTGGCCAGAAAGTGAGAAATTGCACAGTGCAAAAAGGTGTTTGGTAATTGGTGAAAAGTTTTGCGCGTACCGTGAGCCGACCGTTAATGATGTGCCCGCCCGCGCAGCGGTGAAAGGCAGTTAATTGCGGCTTGTAAAGACGCGCTTACCACAACAAACTCGTGCTGTCCGAAAAAAAAGTCGGCGGTTGGATTGCGGATTATCGAAGTACCGTACGGCAACTTTTGTTGGTACGAAAAAGCCGCCCATGCATCGCGGCCAAAAAAGATAATGCAAGTGCAGTAATATTAATTGCCTGGCAAAGCGGCGCATACAGACACACTCCTCCTTTTTTCCCCCCTTTTTTTTCTCTCTGGAGGCGCATGTTTTGTTTTTTCGTGCACTGTACCGTGGGCTCGGTGTGTGTGTGTGCGTCAGTGTGCCTGTACGTGTGTGTGTACACATTTTAGGCGGCAATGGTGTGGGGCCCTGGCCAGCCGATAGTCCGCCGCGCCGCGCTGTAATCGATAGGCGAGCCTAACCATTTGTTGTTTGTTTTCCTTTTGTTGCAGTTTTCATGTCTATATAAACAAACGCACAGCGAAAGTCGGTTAAAAAATCAAGCAGAGAAATGGAGGAGATATCCAGTTTGGACTCTTTCGGCGCCGATTCCAATGCGCGACCGGAGTCGGCCACCCCCCGGACTGAGGAGCAACCGGAGCAGGATCGGGATCAGGAACAGCCTGCGGCGGTAGCAAGCGAAACTCTGGATACACCCGCTTCGCCGCCGGCGGAGGATGCTGCAGCTCAGGAAAGCAAACCGCCGCCAGAGAATTCTGCCAAGGAGCCGGAGGACGACTTCGAACAGATCTCCGAGGGATCACTCGACGCCGAGGATAACCAGTCGCGAGATAAGGCGGCCAGTACACCAGCAGATCCCGTGGAATCAGAGGAACCCGCCGAGGAGCCCACGCCATCCGAAGAGCCTCAAGCCGGTGAGGATGAGCAGCCACAAACAGAAGCCGTCCGGGTAGATCCACAGGAAGAGCCGGAGGAGGCGGAGGAAGAGACAGATGCCCTGCAGGCCACTGCGGAGGAGGTGGAGGCAGCTGCCGCTGAAGCAGATGCTGTCGACGGTGGTCCCGCTTCCCCGGAAGCAATGGATGTGGATGAAGCGGAAGGCGAGGCGGAAGCAGAAGGTGAAGCTGAGCAGGAAGCCGAGGACGATGCAGCACTGGAGCGAGAGGCGGCTGATGATGTAGATATGCAGTCCGTGGGCGCAGACTCACACCAGGCCGAGGATGCGGAGCCACCGGAGGGTCGAGATGAGGTGGACACAAGCCTAGAGGAACAGGACAATGGTCAAGATCCAGATGAGCGGGAAAAAGAGGCGCCCGCCGATGAGGATGATCCGGATGCAGAAGCAGATGCGGAATCGGAGCAGGTGGATGAAAATGCGGAGGAAGCTGGTGAAGCCGAGCATGGCGATGGTAAGTTTTATGATTATTTTTGATGTATGTTTATGTAAAGTCTTAATAATTGAAATATCGTCATTGCAGATACAGTGGAAAATGTTTTGGAGCCAGAGGAATCAGATGTTTGCCTCATTCCCGACGATCAGGAGACGGAAGTGACTGAAGCTGAGAAAGAACTGGCTCGCGAGAACGCCGAGAAGGCCGCGGAAGAGGAGGAGCGTGCCGAGGAGCGGCAAGCCAAGACACCCGATAACGATGGCAAGTCCCTGGCAGATGCCGCCGTCGATACAGAAGACGGCAGTGCAGCTGCCGTTGACGCCACCGACGAATCTCCATCCACGCCAACTGGTAAGTGCGCCACACAAAGACATGAAATGCCCAATCCCACATCTACTCTATCCATTTTGCCTGCAGATGCTCAAGCTGGAGCTAAGGCGGCGGCAACAGATATTGCCGAAGGTGAGCAGATTGGGTTTATATCTGGGCAAAACTCACTAACACCTTTGTTCGCCTGCATTACATTGTTTTATTTATGCTTCTTTTGCTTTGTATTTCGTGTTTCTTTTAAGAAATTGCTTCTAGCTTGCGGAATTATTCTGTTAATAAAAAAAAAGTACATATATACATATATGAATTTAAATTAATTGAAATCAAATTAGTTTGGCCCCATTTTCGGTGAACTTGCACTTGAATTTTCCGATTACGCACTGTTTCAATTTATTTATGAGTTCACATTTGTATTGATTGCCTATATTTATTTCCAACAAGAATTTGAATTATCCACCTGTTGCGTGTACCCAAACTAATGCAAATCCCCTTCTCCTGCCAGCAGACGGAGTAGATGCAGCAGCAAACGAAGAGGAGGCCGGTGGTGATGTTCCCGATCCCGACGAGCCCACAGCTGAGGAATCCTTCAGTGCCGGAACGGGTGAACCGGGGTCCACGCCGAAAATCATCATTAGTTGGATCGTTGGCAGCGTACAGAAGTGCAAGCAGTGCGGCGACAAAAAGAATTGTGGCTTCAGGTACAGGAGTCCAGAGGAGACAGAAGAAAAGGATAAGGAGAAGGACAAGGCGGATGAGACTGCTGAGGAGCCAGAGGCTCCGCAAGAGCCTGCTCCCAGTGGGTACGAATACATCTGCGATACCGCCTGTGTCAATGCCCTGCTAGACGATCAACCCGGCAAGTACTTTGTGCGCCGCAAGAAGTTCCTGGTGGAGGAAGTTGTTCGTGAAGAAGGCGCCGCCGAAACGGAGGCAAGTGCCGATGGCGAGGACGGAGATGCTGAGGAGGCAGCTACTCCAGCCAACACGCAAGATTGCCTGCAGTGCAAGGAAAAGATACGGTGCAAGTACTTCATCAAGCAGGACCAGGACTGCTTCTACATCTGCAATGACGATTGCTTCAATCTGCTCAACGCTGAGGAGCCAGAGAAATTCAAGCTGAAGCGGCACTCGATTCGAGTGCGCAACATTGGCGCCACAACGCTCCAGCCACCTCAAAACTCGCCCAGCAAACGGACCGAGAGTGGCGTGGTTGCCAGGACGGTGGAGGAGGCAGAGACGGCGCGCCTGGACAGAATCGAAAGCTTCCGAAGGCGCTGCGCCGACTGCGAGGCGGAGATCAATACCGATGAGAAACAGCTCATGTGGGAGACCATGGACTTCTGCAATGAGGTGTGCCTGGGCAGCTATCAGCGCACCATTGGCTCCACTTGCGAGACCTGCAAGCAGGAGGTCAGCTCCATAGCGCTTGGCAAGTACTGCGTGCGATTCGGTTTCGATGTGCGGCAGTTCTGCTGCGCCGGTTGCCTTAACACCTTCAAGAAGGGTCTGAAGACGTGCTCCTGCTGCCAGAAGGATATCAGCGGCGGCCAGGAGGGCTTCCTGGCCCCGGTGGGTGACAAGGATCAGTTCAAGGACTTCTGCTCGCAAGCCTGCCTCCGTCGCTACGACAGCATGTGCAATCCCCGACGAAAACTGCGCACCGATGTGTGCGGTGTGTGCAACCACGAGAAGCCAGTGAGGGTGGAGATGTTATTGGAGGACAGAGAACACTACTTCTGCTCGAATCCCTGCTTCTCGGCCTTTAAGTTTGTGAGCAATGTGAACGCCGATCCGTGCGCCATGTGCGCCAAATACTTTGAGCGGCGGAGCGCCGAATCCTACACCATCTACAACGAACAGCAGTCACCCAAGGTCTTCTGCTCGCGTGTGTGCATCAACGTGTACATCATTGTCAACAGGCACATCGTGTCCTGCCAGTGGTGCAAGGTGAAGAAGTACAATTTTGACATGATTTACCAGATTGGTGGCCCCCACGATCAGGAGACGCTCACCTGCTCCATCAACTGTCTGACCATGCACGGCGTTAGCTGCAACATTTCCGCAAGGGCGGTGACCAAATGCGACAATTGCTCCAACTTCAATACGCCTCAGTATCACCTGACCATGTCGGACGCTTCCATGCGCAACTTCTGCACCTACCAGTGTGTGATGCAGTTCCAGAATCAGTTCGCCCGCGCTCCCCTCACGCTGGACAGCGACCTGCCTCCCAGCAGCGGCGCCAGTAGCAGCTCCAAGTCCCAGCAGCAATCCAATCGAGGTAGCAAGAACTCGGCACCCTTTCCCACGGGTCTGCCCAAACGTGTCAAACTGAAGCTCTCCCAGGTGAGTTGAAAACTGAATAATACATATGATGGTAGACACTGGGTTTATTGAGATTTTACAAAACTATTTGGAAGGTTTTGAAGTAACCATGTAAATTGTGTTGGAATGTTTAACATAAATTAAGTGTTGCAACTCTTTATAGAGTTACCTGCTCTATTATCGGCACATGTACTTTAATTTGACTTTTAATTGAAGTTGCAATCGCTATTCAGATCGCATTTAAACCTAACTCAATGCCAACTAGAACAGAAACCTATGTGAATTAATTAACTGTTGTACCTAATTAACTAAATGATTAATATGCCCGATACTTGCAGACTGGAAAAGGTGGCATTGGAGGCAAGAAATCCGGATCCGGCACCATGCTACCAGTTATATCCACGGTGCAATCGCTCGCCAGCGGCGAAACGGAAGCCAGAATCGGAAATTTGACGGTTCGACGCAAGCGTGGACGTCCCCGGGATTCGGGACCCTCACCGCCGCCGCTGTCCATGCAGGGCGTTCATACGCCAGCACCTCGAGGAAGGCCGCGCAAGCACGTGGTTGAGTACTCAGCACGGTCGCCATCGCCCACTATGTCAGGCGGCAGCTCCCACATGGGAATACCGGGCAGACGAAATACTACCACGACTATGGACTTCGGGCCGGCTACGGTAACGGAGACCAAGATCATCACAGTGCCACCATATCCCAAGTCTGTGCGAAACGTGAACATAAGCTGTAAGCCCTTAACAGTGACCCAGGGCGAGCAGTGTACCCCGGACGTGCGGGATTGCGCCACCCAGACGGAGAAGGACTACTCCAACAAGGTGCTCATTCCGGTACCGGTGCCCATCTTCGTGCCGCAACCCATGTACATGTACTCGGCTCCGTTCCCCGTGCCAGTGCCCATTCCGCTGCCAATCCCGGTGCCTATTTTCATACCCACCACGCGCAACACCGCGCAAGGCATTCTTAAGGAGATCAAAAAGATACAAGACAAGATGCCAGAGGATCCGCTGGAGGCAGAGTTGCTTATGATGGCCGAAATGGTAGCCGAGGAGAAGCACGAATCAGACTCCGACTCGGACAACGAGATCAAGCCGGATCCTGGCCTGGTCACGCTGCAGTACCAGAACAGCCTCGAGTCCGTCGCCCAGCAGCAGCAACAACAGCAAGTGGTGGACGTCAGTGGAGGCGGACATAATCCCTACGGCGATGATATGCTGCAGATTGCCCTCAAGATGGCCACAGGCGACTACGACAATCATCACCAGACCTCGACGGTGGACCTGGAAACGTCGATGACGGCGAATACGATCAGCAGCCAGTCGCCGATGGGTCACGACGGAATGGGTCAAATGGGAGTACATCATCTGGACCAGCAGCATCACATGCTTGATGCCACGCAGCGGTGAGTAATGAAAGATTGTAATCAAAAGTCAGTGCCTGAGTCCCCAAATTGTGTGTCTTTTAGAACTCCTCGTGGACGCAAGCGCGGCGTAGGCGTCGTCATGGACTCACCCAATCGCAATAGCCGGTCGCCGGTAAAGAGGCAGCGCGGCGGCGAAATGGACCACTCTGCGCTGCAGCAGCAGTCGCAGCAGGCACAGCAGCCGCAGGAGAAGCCCGACGCGCAGATGTTCCTTAAGTACACCTTCGGGGTGAACGCATGGAAGCAGTGGGTGATGACGAAGAACGCGGACATCGAGAAGAGCTCAATGCGCCGGCGGCCCTTCAAGACGGAGCTGCTTCAAATGACCGCCGACGAGTTGAACTACTCGCTTTGCCTCTTCGTCAAGGAGGTGCGCAAGCCCAACGGAACGGAGTATGCGCCGGACACCATCTACTATCTTGTGTTGGGTATGTGTTTAACTTGCGGGGTTTAGGTGTATCATTCGATTTCATTCAAATCTGTTTCTTCAGGCATTCAGCAATATCTGTATGTAAATGGACGCATAGACAACATCTTCTATGATCCGTACTATGAGCGGTTTACCGAGTGCCTTGACGAGGTGGCGCGCAAGTTCTCCGTGCTTTACAACGATTCGCGTAAGTGAAATCACCTTGAAATGCTTCAGTTCCAACATAACATCTTGCTTTACATTCGCAGAATACATTGTCACTCGCGTGGAGGAGGAGCACTTGTGGGAGTGTAAGCAACTGGGCGCCCATTCTCCGCATGTTCTGCTGAGCACGCTTATGTTCTTTAACACCAAGCACTTCAATTTGACGGTAGGAAGCAGCAATGCTATGTTTTTTGACCTGCGCTAATTATGTTTGTATTTCCAGACTGTGGAGGAGCACATGCAGTTATCCTTCTCGCATATAATGAAGCACTGGAAGCGCTCATCACAGAATTCCAAAGTTCCTGGCTCACGAAACGTGCTCTTACGATTCTATCCACCGCAGGCGGGTCTGGGTAAGTCTTCAACTTGGTTTAGGATGCACAGCAACTGAGCTCTTACTTACTTTTTCAAACAGATGCCAATCCGCGGAAGAAGAAAGTCTACGAGCAGCAGGAGAATGAAGAGAATCCGCTGCGCTGTCCCGTCCGCCTTTACGAATTTTATCTCTCTAAATGGTAAGTGATTTGTATGCTTGATATTTAAAGATACTTAGATTGCCAATCATGGTACGTTTGTTCAACAGCCCCGAGAGCGTGAAGACCCGCAACGATGTCTTTTATCTGCAGCCCGAGCGCTCCTGCGTGCCCGACTCACCGGTTTGGTACTCGACGCAAGCACTGGGGCAGGACGCACTGCAGCGGATGCTGCACCGCGTCAAGATGGTCAAGGAAATCAACATAGCGCTACTAACGACTTAATGTTTAGTTAGGCAGTTATATCATTGTGTACGTGCACGGCTTGTCCTGCAATGACACCCGGAGGACGTTTCTTCGGCTTGGTGCTTAGCACAAGTTTGTTTGCGGGCAAAACCAAATAGGACTAACCTAGGAGCGAGAGTTGTGCTATATTATAAATTGTTTTAAACTTATTTGTACACCTATTTTGATTGTCTATAGTTGCGAAATCGCTGAAAGAGGTGACCTTGTATAAAATGTAAACGCCAACCAAGCCCATCTCACATTCGATTGACTAAATGTAGGAATCAACAACCAGCAATACACAAACTAAGCACACACTCACACACGCACACTCATGCAGACACCCGAGACATTTTCATTAGTTTTAGGATCGTAAGCCAGACAACCATGCATCTTTAGTCATTACTTAGATTGTTTAGGCGATAAGGCAAGAGCGATATGCCCGACCGGATAAGTGCATGTATGTATGTACATAGATTGACGATGGATGACCAGAGCATGTACAATGTGAGTTGTACATAGGATGCGAACCTTAACAATTAGCCGCGCTGTTGTTGTAAGTGTTGAATTGTAAAATGCTGTAATCCTTAACTGCAAGATCGAAGTGCATGTACATGTCTAATTATAAATACATACATACTTTCTATGAATTCAGATGGTTTTTATTTGGCTAGAGATAGGGTTCCTTTTGACCCGAAATTTGAGTATTTCCTGATTTAAGTTTAAGCTCTCGGCATTATATCTGTAGTATACAAAAATAAAATAATCAAAAATAAGTGAATCATCTTGGCAGCAAGAAACGCAAGCTTATAACTTTCACAAGTGTTTTTGTTTATTGACACAAAAGTTATGCGGCACTCTATTTAATACATTTAATTGAGATGGTTGATTGCAACACACTCTTTAGCTATCGTAATACAAAACAGATGGAACTAAAATAAGATACAGTGTCGGCCCGAGTACTTTGCTCTCTGTGCAGACGGTGTTGCTTGGTCATGTTTTCCAGTGATGCAGGCTCCTGTCTGGTTAGCTATTGTCCAGGGCTGAAGGCGCATTCGATGAGGCTTTTTGTTTGCTGTCTTTTGTAAATATATTCACACTGCCGCCGCTCTTCACTCCACTGCTATTACCACTCGGCGTCGCCATTTGATTTTTGGAACACGTAGTCTTTGCCCCGCATGTTCATGATGCCATCTTTGAGATAGAATTTCCATTTGTTTCGCGACCTGGTGATCTGCGTAGGAGGTTAGTTATAAACTCCAACTCATACACGTGCCTCTGCGAACTTACCTTATCATACTGACAAACAATCACGTTATCTGTGTCAAACATTTCAGCAGAGTCTTCGTCGGTGACATCGTCTTCGCTGTTGAGCGGCTCCTCCTCGGCAGCGTCTTCGTGCTCCACATCCTCGTCATCGTCTTTGTCTAGATCATCGTCATCATCATTGTCGATGTTGTCGTCGCTCTCCTCGCTCTCATCCTCATCGGAGGAGTCCAGGGCACCGTCCAATTGCTTGGAAGCGGCAAGAGTTTCTAATTTATCAGAATAATAGTTATAACGAGTGCGCAACAAAAAAAAAAAGGTTTGAGTCTGCTTACTCTGGTGATTGGCGCTGCTCAGTGCTGCGTTTACATGCTGCTGCAACACAGACGAGGCCAACGTGGTGGGCAAGGACATGATGGATGAAATCAGGTGGGCCGTCAGAATTTGGGTCAACTGATTCTCCTGCAGCGCTGAGGCAGGCACTTGTATGGTGAGCACTCGAGATTCCGAACTGGCAGAGCCGGCTGGCGATGGCAGCGTGATCTGTGAAGTGCATTAGCAAATTTAGCCAGCTACGCATCTAGTAATCTAGTAATTCAACTCACGTTAACGGGCATAATGCGGTTGGGGTCGAGCGTGGCCACAATTGGAATGGAGCCCTGTCCACTGCTCGCCGCCTGCTGCTGTTTCTGCAGCAGTGCTGCCCCCGAGGTAGGATGCAGTGGTGGCGGATTCTGTGAGTTAACTTCCTGCTTGATGGGCACCAGCCCGTTCTTCATTCCGCTGCCGGCAGCCATTCCGGCGGACGACTTGAGCGCCACCAGCGAGGACGCGGAGCCGCTGCTGCCGATCTGTGGCTGTGATGTGGCCGCGGTTGCGGCGGCGGCCTTCTTGGCCTTGGCATTGGCTGCCTGCAAAGGGAAAGAGGATTAGTGGGCTTTATTCTGGAAATCCTCCTGCAGACAGATGGCTTTACCTTGTTGCTCTGCAGTCGAAATGTGCGTTTGAATGTGAGGGCGCATGGAAATGAATGGGTTTTTGAATGGAGTTTGATGATGTGTAAGGCAGCGCATTAGTCGATGTTGGTGGTGAGGCGCGTTGCATTGTAGTGGATCATAAGAAAGATAAAGCAAGATTTCTTAGATCGCATGTCTTTGGGGTGAAGTGGTAACACATAGCTTAAAACTATACATTGTAGGGACTTATATGCTAGATAGACACAGGGATTTGAGATGAACATGTCCACCCGAGGCTTCCAGTTCGTTTACCTTTGGATTGTTGGCCACGATGGGCGGCGGGTGGGAGCCATCGCCGGAGTCTGGGCTCAGCTCGACGGCCTTGCTCGCCAGCAACTTGTTGCGCCAGATCTGCTTCATCTCCTGCAGCACCTGCTCGTCGACGCCCTCGTCCAGGAACGCGTCCCGCACATTTGTGATGACGTCCTCGATCACGGCATGGTACACCTTCAGCTGAGGGAGAGAGGTGTGCCATTAATTGTATATAATTAAATTTGAAATGCACGATCAATCTGGGCTTGTGTTGACTTAAACACTCATTATATTATCGCAGCTCAACTCCCTGCTATAAGCGTCCATACAGTTGGGGATAAAACAATAGGGATGGCGTCATAACTAGCTGTCTAGTAAGTCCATGGAGCACGTAAAGTGAAACAGTCCCATTTCCTTATAAAGAAACTATAGAAGTTGAAAATGTGGCTCACAATATGTGTGCCTTTTGAGCCCACATTAAAATTCAGACGCAGCTGTAATGTGAATATGCAAAACACAAATAATCTATGCAAATTATTTGTTTGCGACGAATGCAGGCATATACATACTAGGCATATGCTGCTATATATACAGATTTATATACTGCGTACACCGGCATGCCAGTCGACTGTTTTACTAGTTCGTTTTGCCTTATCAACGGGCGATAAGGAGGCCCCGACTTGCTGATAATAGCACAGGCTACGCAGCATGTCTTACTGCTAATTATAACCCCCAATGGAGTTCGTACTGCTCCGAAAGCTGAAAATCGGAAAACTCAGAAGGCAAAAAGCCCAAAACTGCAAGCCAATGAACGCACCAATACACCGATAGCCAGACAGACACGCACTCACACACACACACGCATACACACCGAACATGCATACGCAGAGGTTGCAGTTTGGACATCTCGAATTTCAGCGGGGCTTAGTGCTGTAGTACAACTGTAGTAATCATGACCACTGGGAAAGCTTTCACTTTCGCGCGTGGGCGCCGGAAGGAGGCGGAGGAGCAGGTGGAGGAGAAACTCCTTGGTAGGATGCCATCCATATGTCAGATGCAATTGAGCCACCGACGATGACACAGATAGCGTATCCCGAGATCCCACCGCGCACTCACCACCGATGTCTGGCACAGCGCCATTTGGACCTTTTTCTCCGCCAGCTTGAGGCTTTTCTGTTCGCTGGGTCGCTAATTGACGTATTTGCTGAATTATAAATGGGCGAAGTGAAGAATTAGCGATAGTGATGCGTTCGTGACGGTGTGCGGCGGAGCAGTGTGACCAGCTGGGGGCCAGCTGAAAATGACACAAATCCACGAAGTAGCAACGCCGCATGTGGTCATACCAAGCTACGGCTGCAGCATTGGTAATTTCGAAGATATTTAAGTGCACATATTGAGAAAATATTTTGGTATTTATTTATAATTCCATTTAATATATAGTATTTGCAAATGTCACACTACTTAAATAGCTTCTCCGCTTCCGTTTTAGCTAAGAATCTTAAAGCACTCACCACTTTTTCAAGTGTATTATTATCCAGCATTGGCAGCGCTGCCAGACTGTCTGGCGCTGTTAAGCTGCTTTATCACTTGTTGCGCCACTGTTAGCCGCACTGTTAACAAGTCGTCCGCTTGTTTTCATCGAATCGAGTTGGGAATTTACTCAAAAGCGATTTTCTTTTCGCTGCAACAGGTTTCCAGCGCCGCCAACCCCTTTCCAAACGGGCACGCTTGCATCCGGGGACGCAGATCGCATGAATCAGTCGCAACCGGTTGAATCGCACATCAGTGAAAGATGAGTGGCGCCGAGACCGAGGCACAGGGCCAAAACCAAGCGAATGGCAACAGGACCAGGTCGCGTTCCCACTTGGACAACACGATGTCCATCCGACTGCTGCCGCTGCCCGTGCGAGCCCAACTATGTGCCCATTTGGACGCCCTGGACGTGTGGCAACAAATGGCCACGGCGGTAAAACTCTATCCAGATCAAGTGGAGCAGATAAGCAGTCAGAAACAACGCGGCCGCTCAGCCTCCAATGAGTTCCTCAACATTTGGGGCGGCCAGTACAATCACACGGTGCAAACTTTGTTTGCTTTGTTCAAAAAGTGAGTCAGTTGGTGATAATAACCCGAAACATCCCAGAAATGACTCTTACTTTAGATTAAAGCTCCACAACGCCATGCGACTGATCAAAGACTACGTTAGCGAGGATCTGCACAAGTACATTCCCAGGAGCGTGCCCACCATCAGTGAGCTGCGCGCTGCTCCCGATTCCAGTGCCAAGGTGAACAATGGCCCGCCATTTCCCTCCTCCTCGGGCGTCAGCAACTCAAACAACAATCGCACCAGCACAGCGGCAACGGAGGAGATACCCAGCCTGGAGACCCTGGGCAACATCCACATTAGCACGGTCCAGCGGGCAGCCGAGTCCTTGCTAGAGATCGATTATACGGAGCTGGAAAACGCCACGGACAGGTGGAGTCCGGAGAATCGCCTGGGACAGGGTGGATTTGGAGATGTGTATCGCGGGAAATGGAAGCAACTGGACGTGGCCATCAAGGTGATGAACTACCGCAGTCCCAATATCGACCAAAAGAAGGTGGAGCTGCAGCAGAGCTACAACGAACTAAAGTATCTAAACAGCATCCGGCACGACAACATCCTGGCCCTCTACGGATACAGCATCAAAGGTGGAAAGCCGTGCCTCGTTTACCAGCTGATGAAGGGCGGTTCCCTGGAGGCTCGCCTGCGAGCCCACAAGGCCCAAAATCCACTACCAGCTCTCACCTGGCAGCAGCGGTTTAGCATCAGCCTCGGCACGGCTAGGTGGGATCTATCGTATCTTAGATGGACCAACATTAACTTTTAATTTCACTCCACAGAGGCATTTACTTCCTGCACACGGCGCGAGGCACTCCGCTCATCCATGGAGATATCAAGCCGGCCAATATCTTGTTAGACCAATGTCTGATGCCGAAGATTGGTGACTTCGGGCTGGTGCGCGAGGGTCCCAAGTCCTTGGACGCTGTGGTGGAGGTGAACAAAGTTTTTGGCACCAAGATCTACCTGCCACCGGAGTTCCGCAACTTCAAACAACTCAGCACGGGTGTGGACGTCTACAGCTATGGCATTGTGCTGTTGGAGGTGTTCACGGGGCGCCAGGTGACGGACCGCGTGCCAGAAAACGAAACGAAAAAGGATTTGCTGCACTACGTCAAGCAGCAGTGGCGGCAGAACCGCATGGAGCTGCTGGAAAAGCACCTTGCAGCACCGATAGGCAATGAGTTGGACATGTGCATGTGCGCCATCGAGGCGGGCTTGCAATGTACTGCCCTGGATCCGCAGGATCGACCATCCATGGACGCGGTGCTCAAGCGTTTCGATCCATTTGTAGCCGACTAGATTGTGTGCCTTATTATGTTACCTTTATTGACGAACTTCAAAAGTTCGAAGAAGAATTGAACCATTTCCACATATTGTGATCGATTGCAATATATTATTAACTTTAACATTGCGAGGATATCCCCCTAAGGACTTATTGTTATGCAAAAACTGTAAATGCTTAAACTATTTTTTATTAAAATTTTGTACACATAGTTGTGAGTGTTATTATGTTCATAAAAACGAAATTTACAAATTGCCTCAAATCAATAATTTAAAACTCAAACCAGCGACGTATTGAATTTAGCGTCATTTCGGTTATAACTATTTTCATTTTCGCAACACAATCATCGCAAAATAATACTGTTTTTATTCGTGACGACGAATTCCGGCTCTCCCCATCGACACGAATCACTTTTATAGATATAGACTTTAGCACGAGATAAATTTTCAATTTTTAATTAAGGACGACCAGCGGACAAGACAATGAATTTAAAAAATTCCAAGTTTTTCAAGAGGATTCAGGAGCTGCGCCACTTCTCCAAGGAGAAGCTCCGGAAGGATCGCGAGAAAAGGACCCACGTTGTGCGCGCCCTGGACATGGCTCTTAGTGAGCAGCCGTGCTTGGACCGGGAATGGTTAAGTCCGGAGCAATCGCCGACTCAACAGCCCACGTCTCCGCGGCGCCGGATTAAGAAGATCCGGTGCGTGAAGAGAAGGGCACGTGCCGGCAAGGAAGTGGCTGAGAATATCTCCCCATATTACGGACAATCTTCTGGTGAATGTAGTCCAATGCCTGCCGTGGAAGCCAAACCTCAGGGCTTCATTCAACTGAACAACAAGACCTACCGCGTGGACTGTCCCACTCGAGTGCTTAATCCTCCCATGAACGTTGAAGAGGAGCGGCCAGCCAGGTGATCTTCCTTAGCTTTGTTATTGGAAACCGACTCTAACATAATTCCCCAGCGAAACCAGGAGTACCATCTGCGTGACCAACTCGCGCTACGCCATGATTGGGAAAATCTCCAAGACACTGGGCTACAAGCTGGTCAAGGAGTCCAAGCTGTGGAACATCCTCTGGTCCGATTCGTTTCCCGGCGTAGAGCTGTTCAAGAACATGAAGCGCTTCCAGCAGATCAATCACTTTCCGGGCATGATCGAGATCTGCCGCAAGGATCTCCTGTCGCGGAATCTGAACCGAATGCTGAAGCTCTTCCCGCAGGACTACAAGATCTTTCCCAAGACCTGGATGCTGCCGGCGGAGTAAGTAACCGTACCTCGCATTGAAGTGACACTCACTGATTCCATCGATTTCAGCTATGGAGATGCCATGAACTATGCGCTCAACCACAAACGCACGTTCATCCTGAAACCGGATTCTGGAGCCCAGGGTCGCGGCATCTGGCTGACCAACGACCTGAAGACCATTGGTGCTCACGAGCGGCTAATCTGCCAGACGTACATACACAGGGTAAGAGGCAGTACTTGAGGAGCTCCATATGCTGACTAACCATCGTATCCACTACAGCCCCTCCTCATCGATGGCTACAAGTTCGATCTGCGGGTCTACACCTTGATTACTTCCGTGGATCCCCTGCGCATCTTCGTGTACAACGAGGGACTAGCCAGGTTTGCCACGAACAAGTATGTGGAGCCCACGCCCGGAAACGCGAACGATCTGTACATGCACCTGACCAACTACTCGGTGAACAAGCGGAACTCGCACTACGAACTCTGCGACAACGATGACTGCGGGAGCAAGAGGAAACTGAGTGCCATCAACAACTGGATGCGGCGCCACAACTACGATGTGGAGGAGTTCTGGAGCAATGTGGACGATGTGATCATCAAGACGGTGCTGAGTGCGTGGCCAGTGCTGAAGCATAACTACCATGCATGCTTTCCGGGGCACGACAAGATCCAGGCGTGCTTCGAGATCCTCGGCTTTGACATACTGGTGGACTGGAAGCTGAAGCCCTACATACTGGAGGTAAATCACTCGCCCAGCTTCCATACGAACGAACAGGTGGACAGGGAGGTTAAGCGACCCCTCATCCGGGACACCTTGAACCTGGTCAGTGCGGTGCTGGCAGACAAGAGACAGATTCTCAAGGAGGATCGCAAGCGGGTCAAGCAGCGGCTGCTCAAGATCAGGGGAGACCCGTAAGTTGCAGATCACTGGTCTGCTACCAGTAATCCAGATATATTTCAACTTCCAGACCAGTTCAACGTCCTCGTCTTGGTGGCGGCACCTCCAATGCCAAAATAGATGCCCATAAGGGCAGCCCAGAGGCCGTTCCCGTTGATATGGAGCCGGCTGCTGAGGACCAACGACCGTTGGCACAGCAAATCGCCTGGGAGGAGAGTCATTTGGGGAATTTCCGGAAGATAATGCCGCCACCGGACTTGAGCAAGCTGGACTACTACACTCGATTCTATGCGCAGTCGAACCAGGTGTCCATCTTCGCGGAGACGGCGGCCAGTAAAAAGCGCGAGGATCTCGCGCGCAAGATGCGTATCCAGATCGAGGAGAAGAAGGCGAAGCAGCAGCAGATGCTGAACGGAAAGGCCAAGCGGGACGCCCGGAAACGGCATGTCTTGATGCTGCCGAGGGCGGTGCGCGAGAAGAACCGGATGAACCTCTTCCGGATGCGGGAAAACTGGTCGCCGGGCTTCATATCGGATGCGGAGGAGCGACTGCGCCACACTTGGCTGCACATGCGAGCGGAGGCGATACGGACGCTCAAGATCACCGAGAATGTAAGCCAGTTAACTTAGAGAAACGTATATAACTAAGGAGTTGTTTGTCCACAGATCTACAGCAATCTCTATGAAACTGGCCACTTGACCAACACGGACATGGTCGTCTATCCGCATCTCTACCACAATTTGCAGCACGGCTTTGACATCAGACATATTCCATAGCCGTCTACGGCATCATTCTGCCCAGTTGGACGCCCACGGACTACACTCCATCACGATGTGTTCTTAAATTCGTTATTTCAATTTAAATTGCTGCTCGTCAAAAAAAAAGTATCAAACGCTTTCGAATCTTTAAAACAATGCATAAAAGGTTTTTCAATTATTCCACAGGTAGATATTAGGCACATTTTATGGGATCTTAAGCAACCATCTTATAGATCCAAAAATTCGATCTTATTAGTTTTTATTAATAATAATGCGTGTTAAATTAGCGATTCACATTAAAGTTTACTCGATTCACATCAATTCAGACACCGAATTCCGGGCAGCGCACTCTCCTCTTTAGATTGGGAATCGCATCTGGCCGATCCGCATAAAGGCATCTACTTGTATATTGTGTATATTTGGCAGGCTGCCCGGCACACAAGCATCGTAAACATTTGCCCCATTGGATGGGGGGAGAGCTCCGACATCGGAGATCGAGAATCTGGCAGTTCGAGAGCATTTCGCTGAGGCGATTGAGATGGAGATGGAGAGCACTGAGTTCAGTCGGTCGAAGGAGCACGCCCCGGGCAGTCGCCAATTAAATTTTTGGGGAAAGTATTTGTAAACTATTTGTGTTTGTAAAGGAGACCTATATTCGAATTGCCCAAAAATATCTGCGGCATGTTCAAAGTGTCACAGGAGATGCGTCTCAACACGCAGGCCGCCAACTCCTCCTCCGCCTCCGCCACCAGTTCGAGTGGGTGTGGCCTGGAGGGCAATAGTCCGGAGGAGGGCGGTATTTTTGGACGCTACCAGCGGACGCCCGATGCGGGTGAGTGGCGTCGATGAGGAAGTAAACATCGAACCGGCTATTTATACACTACCAATCTCCCCAGATGCCTATCCATCGGAATCGCCGCGCGTCTATGTGGCACCCGAGCTGACCGACGCCGGCAAGGTGCAGCTGCTCCACTTTCCCAGCGGAGCGCTGAGGGTCAACAGCCCGCTGGGATTCATCATCAAGCGGAACGGGGTCAAGGGTAACTTCGAGGTGCGCGTCGAGGGTCCCAGTGGCCAGCCCATCCAACCCGTGCGGCTGCAGCAGCTGGACCCGGAGCGCTTCCAGATTGATTGCCAACTGGCCGCCGGAGCGGGTCTCTACAAGGTGCACATCAAGTGCAATTCCGTAACCCTGCCCCGCTCACCATTCATCATCGTGGCCATAGCAGGTGCTCCCGAATCCATCGAGGGCAAGTCCGCTAATTCTTCTGGTATGTTTTATCAAGAAAAGTGCACCTAAGTTGGTGTAATCAATTAGCATCTTGTACGCTTTAGTGCCCATCTTGGATTCGGATGCCAGCAGGGTACAGAGCCGTGGCCTGGGCCTCACCCATGTCAGCCTGGTGGAGCGCAATGAGTTCACCGTGGACTGCGGCCAAGCGGGGAGCAACATGCTCCTGGTGGGCGTGCTGGGGCAGCGCGGTCCCAGCGAGGAGGTGGTGGTCAGGCATCTGGGCCGTGGCATTCACAGGGTGACCTACCGGGTGTGCGATCCCGGCGACTACATCCTGGTGGTCAAGTGGGGGGAGGAGCACGTACCGGGCTCCCCGTTCAGCTTAAGTGCGGATTAGCCGTAGAAAACAAATGTGCCACTATAAATCAGCTGACCTTGATGGGGCGCTGCTACCACCCATCGGCCGTCTCCTCAATGGAATCCTGCGCAGCTCCTCCGGGCGATGTGCACCCTAATGGTGATTGCCGATGATAGTCTTATGGGTGCTCCAGCCGCGTTCCTTGCCGCTCTTTCCCGCCACTAATGACGTTCGCATTTTGGAGCTGATGCTGTCGGCGCCTCACAACCTAATGATGATGACCGGCGAATGTGGGTAAACTGAGTATGTGGGGGCAAATAGCAATCTGTACAGCCGAGGTTGATGCAATAGTCAGTAGTTTGAAAAAAATAAAAATACAACGTATTATATGTTAACATGCATTTACCAATAACAATATATTATAGCTTATTGTGCACTTAAATCGATGTAATAAAATAATATGATTATATCTTAAAATTACATATATTGCAAATGTTGCACAATACAATAAGCTAAGTACCATACATTGAGGTTTTTAATTTGTTTCTCATTTGCGGGTAATATTAAACTGTCCATCACTATTTATAGAAATGATTAAAGGCGGGGATTGCAAGATGATGTTGTACTTGATGATGATGACAAATTCATTTTCTAATCCTATACCACCTGTGCTGAGTAAGAAAATTACAATATATTTGCATATTATAAATTTCCAAACATTTAAAGAATGTGGAAATTAAATAACTAGAAATGTTCCTAGAATTGTTTTTCGAAATTCAAATATATTATATGTGTAATACCTTTATATATATTATTAATTTCAAAGTTTACTATTAATACTGTTGGCCAAGTTCCTAGATAGACTTTCAAATATTTGGTGACCTTGTTATTGCCACTTCGCTACCCCAATTTCTTCTTATTCCGCTTTTTCCCACCCTCATCGCCCACCACCCCGCTACTCTACCACTTTTTCACCGAGACGATGTGCAATTTAATGATGATTACCCCACAAGCAAAGCCAACTGACGACTTTGTGGCAGCGACATTATCATTTTTTGTTATTTAGCCCGCTAATGACGTTCGCCGTTGCTGCTGCTGTTGTTGTTGCTGCTCCATCGCACAACCTAATGATGATGATGATGACCGGCACATACGCGTCGGTGCGGCTGTACGAGTGTGAGTGTGCATTATGCTCCAAGAGAAGCGATTTGTTGTTGGGCAGAGGAGGTGGGGTGTAGCTGAAAATGATGATGATGAGCGATGAAATGGGCTTGGTTTGTAGCACCCTAACGAGCCGAGATTGAAGTATTTGAGTATATTGAGCACGAAAAATGGCAAATGACTTGGTTCTATGTGCCTAAAGCCACAACAAACATTTTCAATTTCTCACATTTGGCGCTGTTCGAAACCCCAACGGCACCAGCAACAGTCTGGCAACGCCATAGCACACTAGCCGCACCGCTCACACCTTGTTGCTCTTGCCATACAATGCTGTCTCGCTCCCGCGGAGAACATCATTATAGAGTCGAATGGCGAGAGCTGCGCAGCGTAGGAGCTATAAACTACGTTTTTCGTGTGTTTCCCTCTTGAAGATAATTAAAATTTAATTATTTGACTTATTATTAAGTTTTGTGCCCCCGCTGTTGGCATCGCAGTGTTGTTGTTTCCCCCGTTTGTGCATGGAGCAAAGCGAGAAACGTAACAATAGAACGCAATCAACGCAAGAAAATCGGATGTGGCTGCGATGTGAGTGTGTGTATCTCTGAAATGGGAAAAGTGTGTGCGTGTGTGTGTATTCGAGGAAAGTTACCGCTCCCCCCAGCCCGCAAAATTACATACATAGGCTCCCCCAACCCACCGCCACTGCTGCTAACCCGCAGTCGCAGTCGCTGTCGACGTCGGCGGAGCATCTTCATCTTCATCCGCATCTGAACCCAACTCCCTTGTACACTTGAGTTACCGCTTAACTTCGATTCCAAACGTCGCCGCATCCACTTCTCACTGCCTACATCTTCTGCTGCTGCTGTTGCTGCTGCATGCAAATAGCAACTTGTTTCGCTCGCACAATTAATATTTGTTTACCGTTTACCGTTCGGTTTGCATTGCATGCGCGTGTGTTTGTGCGGGAGCGGCTGAGCTGTGTCGGAGTGTGTGAGCCGGCTTAATGATAATTGAAAGCCTGAAAATAGACAATGTACACAGACAAGTGGATACCCTTTAGTATCAGAAAATATGTTACATGCCACTGGGATTACTGAGGGGCTTTGTTGATACCAACCATTTACGGTACAAACAACATGGGTGCTAAAATAAACCTTTTAAAATCATTGGACGTCAAATTTAACACTGTTCCTATTGCATTCTATTTCTAGTGATAAGAAATGCTGATAGACTAGCTGACAGAATGCTTGTGTTTTGAACTTTCATAATATTATGATGTGATATGATCATGATATTATAATTGAAGATTAAAGGTGACTTAAAACTCTGCATAGTTGTATCGAAAATTTATGATAACTAATGATTGAGTTCTTCTATTTTAATGTATTACCACAATATACCCATTCACTTCCCCGAAAACCCAGTAAACTTAAAATTATAAAAGGGGCAGCCACCTTTATACCCTTTTTGAGGGGAGGGATATGACCACAGAATATTAATTACAATTTCTATGCAATTAAATAGTCATCAAAGCGGTTGCAAACCTATCTTGTTAAGGGATCTCTGAAACTCATAGGGATTGCAATGCAAATATTTAAAACCGAATAATAAGCAATGGCACCTGCACGTTAAATAATTATTCATTTTATTTCAGGAGCGTATCCGTGTACACTATGCCAGTCCACTAGATAAACCGCTTCATGTGCTCCTTCAACTGGCAAACGAAGATTGTCGGGCAATCCCAGTTGTCGGCAGTAAGACCCATGTGAAATGCCTGTAAGTTGACTTTGGAATCAGCCGCTTTATCAGGATTACATTCAGATACTTTTCCACAGTATGAAAAATTCAACAAAAAGCGCCGACAATGGGAGGATAGTGGTGTTCTAGAGCTGATCAAACTATGGAAAGTCTGCGCCTATGAGCTGCGCACCATTAAACGCAATGGCCATCTTTATGTGGCAATGGCCAAGCAGCTAACCTCGCTGGGCGTCCCTGTAACCGCACTCGAGGTTCACTTCAAAGTCAACAATCTTACGCAGCGCTACCGACAGGAGCAGAAGACTCTCGAGACCACAGGCATCATCAGCACCTGGAAGTTCTACAGTCAAGTGGATGATGTGTTTAAGAGTCTGGCCGGACACACCGGTTACAAGTCAGTTGAGATTCATATTTGCAATATAGCAATTCCATACTAAGAATTACATACCTTATTATTCCTCAGAGACAAACGCATGACAAGTGCGTCCAATACGAGCAGTTTACCATCTACATCCGAGTCACCAGTTTGGAAAAATCCAATGTCTCAACAAGAGTTTAATAGTAACAACACGGAGGGGTTCTATAAGTAAGCACTAGCAATACAACACTTTCTTCTATTAATAATAATTGTAATTTCCAGGACCGAGTACGGCATGCACCGGCACTTTATGGACCACTCCCAGCCACCACCCAATGCCGGCAGCGTGGACAACTTCATGGCCTCCTCGGTGGCCGTGGCGGCGGTGGCTGCCGCTGCCTCGGCCCGCCTTGCAGATAACAACATGGATCAGCAAATGAACACGGCTGCCGGAGGAAGCGGCGCCAGTGGTGGTGGCGGCGGCAACACCAATGGAGGCGTGGCCAACTACCAGAAGATCAAGAAGTCACACGAGGACTACGACAAGTTCGTGGACATTGTGAAGAACATCGTGGATACGCACAAGAGCACTCCGGATAAGGTGGACACGTTCGGCGACTTCATCAAATCGTACATGAAGCGCTGGCCGGAGCGGCTACAGGACGAGGCGATTAACCACATCACCAACTACGTGATCGTGAAGAACATGGAGCACAGCATGGTCAGCAGCCACAACCCCGAGGGGGTGAACAACCGACAATAACAATACAAGCAGGAGCCCAACAACTGAATGAGTTGTTGGACGACGCAGCTCCAGGAATCAGGCCCAGAAGGCGAACGAAGTGAGACGGCAGGCGAGGATTACTTAAGGTGGCGCGCAGTTACTTAACCGCATCTGAGTTGCGGCCAAGTTCATTGGACACCCACACGGCATACAGTATTTTTTGTATAGTTAAAATATACATTGAAGTTTTAGTTTTCGACGGTCGCTCCCCCGATACAGAGTTGACTTCGGTAAGGGGGGACAGGATCGATCAATCGTGCATAGAGATCCTAGGGAGTACATTACATTTAGACACCATTTCCTACTGTTAGCTGTAAACTATTATACATAAATTAATAAATGCTTTAACGATTATTTATGAATGGTAGTAAGGATGCAATATCGGCAAGTTGTATTACGAAAATTGTGCACTTTACGATTTAAATATTCTCATTACTTCCAGCTTCTTTCCAGATCTTGAGATAACCTAGTGTCCTGCTGATTCCGCTAAGTTTTCATCCGTGTAGTCTAAAATACGACGCTTCATACGGCGGAGGTATTGCTTATGCTTGAGGTACATTTTTAAGCTTCCCTTAATCGCTATGAAAGTCAATCCTCCAAGTAGAGTTTGTTGCAACCTATCATCGACTGAGCTATAAAGAACCCTACCCACGTATATTGATATGGTGGGCAAGAGCATTGCCCCACAGACCACCCGCGATCCTGAAATTGGGACCATAGTAGCACGAGGGTATGAGTCCGCCTCAAGGTCATAATCACGGCCTAGGCACATCATGGCAAGTCTTCGCAGCATTGAACAACATTTTCTAATGATGCGCAAAAGGACGTCGTCCCACGGAATCATGCGTCCAAGAATCAGACCAACTGGGATTAATGGGAATCCGATCAGAATAAACAACGGGTCTACAGCCTCAATTACATGATGAACGTGGCGGTCATGACCAACGATCTGCAGATATGTACTTGCTCCGAACGTAATTGCTGACCAATATATAAAGACCAACGTAAAGACAGTGGCCAGGCATTTATATAGGGGCTTTAAAATGAGACTGCACATGAGTTCCAGAGCCCTGGCAAAAATACCGAACTTCGAGTATACAATGTTGTACTTCGTTTGGCATTGTGGGCAGTAAACTGTTTTCAGTTCGTTTCCTTTTCCAGTCTTCTCGTCAATCCAGTGGGAAAGACAGCTCTGGTGCACCCACTTGGTGGCTCCTCGGCATGGACATGGATTCACCCAAGCCAGACGACAGTCCTCTTTATCGGTCAGATAACAGATCCAGCAACAGCGCTCCGTGTCCGTATGATCTTCGTTATCTATTGGTAATGGCTCTCCAACTACGTCATCCCCAGCTGCAGCCTTTGGTACAACAACGTTGCCAGCCATTTCTGACAACAAAACAGTGAAATAATATAATCTTGTTTCATCCAAAACTTGAATCTGAATCAAGGCACATGTTTACAATACCTACTTAGGCCAAAATAACTTAATTTTTTAACAGTTTGTGGTTCAATTTATTTTACAGAGAAGTTTTCGATATATAAAGTTATAACTAATCTTGTACTGATCTTATTAACCTACTCGATGCAAATGAACGATAGCGAAATTTCCCATTATGTTTATCATCATCACAAAGTGGTCAGGTTAGATGCGCTGGACTTGACACGCCACACTGTTGAACATGTTGGCTGGCTTTCCCGGCACTGAAGGCGCCACCAAGAACCGGGCGAAAGTGCCGCCCTTCTTGTCCGCGACACGTCCGGGATTGATCACCAGGCAGTCGTTAACTAAGCGTACGAAGTGCCGCTGATCGCTGGGCAGGATGAGTACATTTGGCAGCTGTTTGAGCTGGGCATACTTTAGCGCCAGCTGGGAATCGTAGGCCATGTCTTCATCCGCCGGCGGATACAAAGGGTAGAAGGAGCCCTGGTGAAACAAATGGTTAATGGCCCTGTGCATCCGCTCGCCGGCATTCACAGCGAATTCATGGCTCAGCAGATGATCCACCACGTACGTTGAGGTAACGCCCAGCGTAATGCCATCCAAGTCTACCAGAGAGGGATCGGGCAGCATGTATAGATTCGGATAGTTTCTGCGTAGAGTGGGCGGCGGTGTGGGATACACGGAGAGCGCCATGGCGTCCTTCTGACTGGTCACCATCAGCACTGCGGTGTGACTACCAACTGCCTCCATTATTCCCGCAATCATCTTCTCGAAGAATGTATCAAAAGTCTCAGCCAGTTCGCCGACCATCTTGTGGTCCGCATCCAGGAAGGGACCTGTGAGCACCAGCACATCCGGTCTGTGATCCTTGATGTACTTGAGAAGGTCGTGCAGTGGTTCGTAGAACAGATCGGTACTGTCCGTAAAAGGCCCAGAGGCCACCACAAACTGAAGCTCCCTGTCTATTTGCAGAGGAGTCGCTGGCGTCAGTTTGCGCTCTGTATGTATCTCCTCTACCATGAAGGTTTTACCTCTGGGTATGAAACCTTTGGCGAGCACCACTTGACCTGGGAAAATGCTGGCAGACTTGACCCTGGAGAAGTTAAGTGTGAGGGTTGGGTCCATTTCATCTTCTACATCGTCATCTATAACGACCATAAACGCGGAATAGGCGTCCAAGGGACCATCGTCCTCAGAATGAATCATTCCGACCGCGTGAAGTCCACCTGCGGACTGCAACACCTGTCTATCCTGCGGATACCAAATGCACTCGGCGGCGCCTGCTTGTCCAAGTTTCTTGTCCACCAGTGCAGGGCCGGTTTGGTTGAAGCGGACGCGCAGGTTATGGCATCGGTCGGTCAGCAGGTCGTTCATGTAGCCAAAATTGGCGATGGTCAGCGGGGCGTCGTTGTGCAGCAGTTTTTGGGTCACCGGCACCGTGTGCTCCATTTGCGACTGCCAGCTGGAGCCAGCCACGAGTTTGGGATGTCCGAAGGTGTCCACTATGTCGCCCGGTTTCCCTGCTACTGAGTTGGATGGTGTTTCTAATCCTGCTTTCCTCTTTGCCGATTGGGGTGTATAGCTGGCGGGGCTGAACAGCACGCCGCCCTTAAGATTTGAGGTCCGACCCACATCTTTCTTAGCCTTGGGCGTATGCAGAACGGAGGAGTCCACGGCCGATTCGCTGAAATAGTCATCAATCATGGGATCGTCCTCCATCACGCCATACGTGGCCAATGAGCTCGTCTCCTGGACATCGGACGGAGCATACGATTTCGGCCTCTGGGTAGTTGGCTTGGATCCCGCCTTGTCCTTCCGGAGCTGCAGCACCTTGCGCTCAAAGTCGCCCAGGTTCTCGATCGCAGGATCTTCGCCATGGAGGTGCGACAAGCTGAAGGCCATCCATTGTTCCACAAACTCGGTGGCGTCGTGGATGTTGTACGTAATGGCGAGCTCAGCACACCTGCCCAGAACTGGGTCCGCTGGCTCCACGCCCATCTCGTCGAACTGCTGCTTCAATTCCTCCTCCATTCGTTGTCCTTTCGTTCGCCGTTTAGTTTTCGTAAATAAACCTAGCAAGCAATTTATTTTGGCGGTAAAAGTGGGTACAGAGTTGCCAGACTGGGATGCTTTTAACACCTGCTCGAGTTTTCTTATCGATAACATATCCACATCTCGATAACATAACAAAGCTATCGAGCTGGGATAACCGTGGACTGTGACCAGTGATAGTTATCGCCCATCCCCAATCGAAATGCAACAGCTGTTTTAATTTTGTATTGAGAAACTTTTTTGTTTACTCCGCGTTCAAGTGCAAACAAGCGAATTTAGCGGCTGTAATCGCGTCGGTTTGATTGATGGGATTCCGCACTGTGTGCCGATAATCGCCGCGAAGTAAGTGATTCGCCATGAACACGGACGATCTGCTGGTGCGCCGCGAAAGGAGCGAAGACTCCCAATCCTCGAATGTCTCCGTTCCGGTTACGCCCCCCACTGGAGGTGCCGCGCCTGCGCCCAACGCCTCCACGTCATCGCTGGACCGCCTGCGGAACACCTTTCGGCGCACGGAGAGCATCTCGTCGCAGATCTTCAGCCACATCTCCACGCAGTTCTCGAATGCGGCCGCAGCAGCCGCCTCCTCCGAGGTAATCGATGGCACCACCACGTACCCGTATCCCGACGAACCCGCGCCACCTGTTTTACCTGTTGCACCGGACGCGGTGGTGAGCACCAGTGCTCCATCCCCATCGCCATCGAAACTGAAAGCAAAGCGGTTGAAACGCGGTGAGTCCTAACTACAAGTATTATTCATTGGATGATAAGCACCTTTGTTTTCCATTTTGCATTATCTATAATATGTTAAGTAATAATTTTGTGTATAAACAAAAGGTTAACCTATAACTCTCAGAATAGTAATGAAGCTATACAAATTATTTATATTAAAAAAAGGAAACATATTTTCAAATGTATATTAAAAAATCATTTATTATAATTATTTACAATTTGGGTGCTCAGAAACCACTATACAATTTATTTATTAATTTGTTGAACTGCAATTTCGTGGGTTGTGCGAAACTGTCGTTTAAATACTTATAAAAATAATATAATTAAAAATAATTTAATAAAAGTGCATCGGGAAAGTGTCAACGGTTATTTATACACCATGTACAGCAGAACCATCGAGAACACCCCCAACAAAAGCTCGCGAGGAGCTTGCGAGCTTGGAACACTTGACAAATCAATAGGATAAAGAACTTTTTGCCAGTCTTACTCAACGCGTACACAACAGGATAACAGTGCACCCTTAAAGCGGCGAGAATTTTCGGTTATTTGGTTAATTTCAGAAGGAAAACCTTCTTAAAAAGAGGTTTACAAAAGGAAAACTCCTCATAGGTAATGCAAACAGTTGGGGTAAAGCCGCAGCAAAGGAAACTCCGAACTTATTGAACAGCTAACATCGATATATGTATATATTTAAATGTATGTATTTTTATGGACGCCCACGTACACACACTCAGCCGTACTTGAAGCACCAGCAAAATGCGTGGACTCGTCGAGGATACCAAAAGGACCAAGTTGTCGGCCGCGAACAACAACAACCTCAGCAGCACCAGCGGCAGCAGTCGCATAAAGTCAAGTAGCCTTGCAACTGGATCAAGTGCAAGCGGCAGCAGCTCGAAGCCTTTGAGGAGTGCGGTGAAAACGCCAACCACGGGCAGCACGACGTCATTGGCAGGAACAACGGCGGGGAAGAAGTCACCTCAAACAGGGCAACAACAAGTTGGCAAGTCCGCAAAGTCCTCGACGGCAGCAACACCAACTGGTACAACAGCAGCAGCAACTGGGGCAACAGCAACAACAAAAGCGCAAGCGGCGGCGGCCAAAAGCCAAAAGGGTCAGAATCCACCCCCACAACATGTGCAACCGAAACAGCAGCAGCAGCAGCAACAGACACAGCAGCAACCCCTGGTGTTGCAGCAACAACAGGCGAGCAACAGCAGCAACACGATTGCCCTGCCAAAAGCCTCGCATGCCAACACCAGCGAGGAGCTGGCCGGCGGTGTCCAGGACACCATTTACCTGTGTAATTTCCGGGTGTCCGTCGATGGCGAGTGGCTGTGCCTCAAGGAGCTGCAGGACATCGATGTTGCCGGCGGCCCTGGCAGCTTGGCAGCTCAGACCAGTGAAAAACTAACAGGTGGAAGCAGTTCCCAAACGGGCTTCGGGTCCAACTACAATGTGGGCGCCAGCTCCAGCTCCAAGCGCAACAGCAAACGCTTCTCCGGATTATGCACCGGCAGTGGTGGCGGTAGCGCCGGTGGAGGAGGCGCCTTGGACATCACCGACAATGGTATTATGGCAATTGAAAACCTTATCGGCCGCCGGCTGTGCGACATGGTCCACAGTGGCTCCTCGGCACTCGGCCAGTCCCAGTCGCACTCCCAGTCGCAGCACCAGAGTGTTGGCCTCTTCGCCGAGTGGTCGCATCTCTGTAGGTCGCTTCTTGATGCCTCTGTTGCCCAGCACGCTCCTACTTTGTAGTCTCTCTTCATTTCTTGTTAGATTGCAGGGGCCATACAAATCAGAAGAACATGGAGAGCCAAGTCATTATTTTCTTAAGGCTTGAGACTTTTCTAGGTTTTTGTTTCTGTTCTTAAAAGTTTTGACTAAATTTACGATTTACTTTCTTCGTAAGATATTGTTTCATGTGTAGACCTTAGCTTTTGCTTTTTTGTTCAATAAGCAATGGAACACGGCACGAAAGCCCTTAAAAAGTGTGAATGGCTAGATCTCGGTTCTCGATTATATTGGCCTTTGTAATCTTTCATCTACTTGCATGCCTCTTTGCGTTGTTGCACATTTAGTTGCTTGCTCTTAATAGATAGGTTAAACTCAAAAGGTATTTATCCTATACTTAAATCAGATCTTGGATAAGGGATACTCGTCTTAATGCTAGATTTCAATTAGGCAGATAATTGATACAATCATTTTGGTCGATGACAACTTACGAACTGCTCTTAGAAGTTAAAACTCAAAGGGTTTATTATCTTGTCAAAAAATATACAATGAAATAGTAGCTAGTCAAAAAACATAACAGGTTAAAGAATAGTCAACTAGGAATCATCAAAAGTCGTTTCCCAGCTGGGAGATTCCTTTAAAGACTAAAAACCAAGATCAATATTCTGGCTTATTACTTGTTGAAAAACAAACCTACCGTTGCACCGCCCTTCAGTCGACGGGAAGTATCTGGTTTGTCTTCAGACTTTTTCCTCTGCAGAAGAGGATCATCGGATGTGTCTTCCATTTTCGGCATTACTTTTCAAATTTGAATATCAAGAGAAAAAGTAAATTACTCAATTGGATTTAGGAAATTACTAGTCATAAACTTACCTATTCTCACTTGTTTGGGCGATCGCCTTTCTGGGGACGACTGCTTCTTGTCTTCTGAGGATTTGGTCTGCTGGTGACTCTGGGTTCAAGATTTCAAAAGCAGGGGGGATCTGATAACTTACCTCCTTTTTTCGACTAGTCTCAAAGTCCTTAAGCTTCTTCCGCCTGGCTTCTTCTCGGGTTTGCCTTTGGCGCCTATTCTCTCTAGTACCCTGTTCGCTTTCCGACGAGGGAATGACGGATAGGGCGGACTTTAAAGTGGTCTTACAAGCGTCCTTGTAGGAAGCGCGGCTAGGAGACGAGTCATCGGAAAGAAGTTTGAAGGCAGAGACCTGCTTTCCCAGCTGATCCCGACTCTTGTCTGGTGCGTAGTAATCCCCGCCCTTCGCTCGGGAGAACTTCATGGGAATGCACTTTCTGTTGAACTGACAGCCCAGCGACGAGGTTGAGGTGAAGGAATCTAACTCGGGATTATCCGGATAGCCTGTAAACAAGAAGGCTTAGATAGTAATTTAGTTGCCATAAGTTTTGACTTACGATTTCCTTGAACTGATCTTTGTGAGGTGGACCGATCAGAACCCGAGTAGTAGTACCGTCGATTTACATCAGTATCGGCTTTATCTTCTTTTTTTTTCTTGTCCTTATCTGGCTCTTTGGCTTTCAGCGGCTCCTTATCTATTTTGGGTTTCTCTTTCGGCGGAGGAGCCTCAGCATCCGTTGGGGCAACCCTCTTTCTCCTGCCCCTTCGCATGCAACAGCAGATGATGAGCAGAATGAGGAGCAGGAGCAGTGTCAGAAAGGCGGCAATGCACCAAATCAATGTCTCATCGTTGTCGCACTCGCGGCACTCTTCCACATCCTCCTGCCGGTTCTGAACCTTCTCCAATCCGGTTAGCCATTCGTCTTGGTGCTCCTGCTCCTGTTCTGGCTCTGAGGTCTCCTGCCAGTGAATGGCAGAGCGACTTATCTTGCGGGAGTCTTCTTTGGTAATGGAGGGATATCCCAGAGCGTCATCCTCATTGGGTGGTGTCCGGGATTCCTCCTCCGCATTCTTCTCTTTCGACAGCATCTCCTGGATCTGCAGAATCCCTCCTAGACCCGGGTAGAATACATCATCCGCATAGTGCATTTCAAGATTTTCCTTTATCCAGGCGAGCAACTGGTGATTGTAATTAGCCTGGCTGACGCCCTGAAACCGATGGCAGCTGGTTAGCGTTTGGAAGAACTTTACCAGGACAAATTCTGATCGTGGTGATCGCAGGTTGTAGATGCGTCGCTTCCGTAAGGGCAGGTATATGTTGGTCAGGTGGCCATGATCATCCACAGCCTCCAGTCGGGGCAGGGTCACAATCATACTGCCTTGATCCGGCTCTTGGGAAATGCAAGATTGCTCTAGTTGAGTACAACTGGAGGCATCCTCCTGGGCACGGCAGCTCTTGGGCAGTTTGACTGGTTCGATCTCTTCTACCTTGAACTGGGATATTATATCCTTACTCGGAGTTCTCCAGCCATTTCCATTCGTATTAAGAGTCGTTTTGCACTGTTGATAAATGTTTACCAAGCGCTCCACGGTGTTCAGCTTGATGCGTCCGGCATAATAGGATATCTGGGCCATGGGCACCAGATAATAGCGAAGATAGCCACCCAGGGCGTCGTAGAATGCTCTTTGAAGGATTAGTCGCGTGTCCTCGTCCGACATTCGCTTCACGATCTGGTTAACAGTATTGAAGTACCGGAGTAGCATGTAAACAACGCTGTCGGTGAGGAGGGATTGCGGAAAGGATTTCGGCACCAGCAGCTCAAAGTCTTTGCGGGCGGATATCAGAGCAATGTCCTCTGTGGAAAAGCAATTTTTGCGGTAGTTGCCAAACAAATTGGTGCCCAGAAATGAATCTGATTCGGGTGCACTCCTCGTCGCCTTTTGCAGATCCCTGGGCAGATCCTTAAACCATTCAAGCTCTTGGTATCGTCTGGGCGGGGAATATGGAGCATTCGTCATCTGGTCATCGACCCTCTCGATGAGGCCATTGCGGTAATCCCGCAGCTCCGAGCTGAGCATGGATTGCAGGGTCAGTTCGTTTTGGAAATCGTTCGTTGGCACCTCCAAAGTAGCCAGGTCGATACTGTATATGGGACAACCCCCGGGTGCCAGAAAGAAAAGCAGCCAGGAGAGCACATAAAATTTCATTACTCAGTTAATCAGTTGTCAGTTGCTTTGAAGCAAATTTCTGCGCCAGCCAAGTCTTTAATCTTGGAACCACCGTTCCTCCATTTGCAGCCCGGGACACGGCGGAAATCGAGCGCAGCAATCTGGTGAACATCTGCAAGTTGGTGGTTAAGGAGCTGTTGGAGCAGTCGCTGCGATATGGGCGCATGCTCGACTCGGATCACCTGCCGCTGCAGCATTTCTTCATCGTTATCGAGCACGTCCTGGGGCACGGATTGCGGCCCAAGAAGGGTCTGCTGGGACCGCGAAAGGAACTCTGGGACCTGCTGCAGAGCGTCGAGCACTACTGTCCGGAGGCGCAGGATATTACGGCGAGCGTAAGGGACCTGCCCACTGTCCGTACCCACATCGGCCGTGCTCGAGCCTGGCTGAGGATTGCTTTGATGCAAAAGAAGCTATCGGATTACCTGCAGGCGCTCATCGAGCACCGGGAGGACTCGCTCTTCGACTACTATGAGCCACATGCTCTGATGATGAGCGATGAGGTTAGATTGCGGGCAATCTTCTGCAGGATTCCCTTTAACCCATCTCTTCCTGCTTCAGATCGTTGTGATAATGGGCATTTTGGTGGGCTTAAACGTAATCGATTGCAATCTGTGCGTCAAGGAGGAGGATCTGGACTCACAGCAGGGCGTCATCGACTTCTCGTTGTACCTGCGTTCCAGTTCCAGAAACGCCGATGGCGCTCCTGAAGACAGTGTTCCGCCTGCTCTGTTGGATGCCACTGGGCAGGGCAACATGATTGCGGTGCTGGATCAGAAGAACTACATTGAGGAGCTCAACAGGCACCTAAAGTGGGTTTCGGCTGTTGTAATGTAAAGCCCCCCAGCTAAGTTATTCCACATTTTTCAGCGCCACTGTGGGCAATCTTCAGGCTAAAGTTGAGTCCCTTACGACCACAAATGCGCTGATGAAAGAGGATTTGGCAATCGCTCGGAATAGCCTGTTGGCCCTTCAAGCCGAAAACCAGGCCATGCGACAGTCCACTCCGGCAGCGGACAACAATTCAACTGGGTTGGGTGGTTCCTCCGATAAGGACAAGGAGAAGGCGTCCGAGGAGCTGGTTGAGGAGCGCCGCAAGAACAGTGAGCTGGAGAAGGAGCTCAAATTGCAGGTGTCCCTGAAGGCGGAATCGGACATGGCCATGAAACTGCTGGAGAAGGACATACACGAAAAGCAGGACACGATAGTCTCCCTGCGCCGCCAATTGGATGATATTAAGCAGATCAATCTGGAAATGTACCGAAAACTGCAGGTGGGTAGTCACCATCAAGATGGGTCAATTTGGTTGGAGTCTGGCTAATCTCAACGTGATTCCTTGTAATGCCAACCAAAATGACTCATTCAAACATTCATTACACTGTTCACAACTCATCTGCCCACATTCATTCGCTCATCTGGCTCGTAGCTTTGGTATCATTTAGCTTTCGTTTTAAGTTTTTGTTTATAATTTAATCATTAGCCCAAGTAAATCGGTTTAAGCCTTCAAGTCAAAAAGTAATCCCGTCTAAAATTTAACCAGGAATGTGAAGATGAACTCACACAGAAGGGCGAGATGGTCTCGCGCCTGCAAACGAAAGCCTCACAAATTGGTAACATTTTACAATCGCTAGAAAAGAAATACGAATCGAAGCTCATCGACCAGCAACACCATGGACCGGGCTCCGGATCGGGATCTGGAGCTGGGAATGGAGCCATTGGCGGAGACCGATCTCCGAACACGCGGCGACAGCAGAATCTGGAAAAGTTCGAGGCGCTCACCAAGAAGCACAAACAGGACGCTGGCCCGCCCATGAAGCGTATGCATCTCAAGATGGACGCCTTTCCGCCCTTCAATCCTAGCAAGTACCGCAAGTCACCGCGCCAGCCGGATGCACCCAATCCGGAGCAGCTGCAGGAGAGCAAGGATGCCAAGACGCCCACGTCTGCCAAGTCCCTGAACGATGAGCTAGCCGAGGCGGCGGCTGCGGTGACCCAGCACTTTGGAGTGGATGCCTCCCAAAGCGATTATGTCCTGTGCCGGGAGCAGACCGCCGATGGAGAAACTTAAACGGCAGCTACTTATAGAATAGGATCCTCATTTTATAGGGCCAGTTTCGGTTTTCACAGAATGAGTTCTACATAAGTGTATTAACTTGTATGTTTTTTGAATTGAAACCTAATTTACTTTCAATGAAAATCTAAAACTAGTTTAATATATTTACTGAATGTATTTAGTGCCTGACTGCATTTATACCTAAGGATAAATTCTTTTATGTACTATTATTTGAATTGCTAAAGCCCTCTCAATGGAATAATTGCCTACAAATGTTGAATTTTAATGTACGAGTATGATCCAAAGATCACCCCATTAAAGTTACCATGTGAAAATCGGAACAGGCCTGCATTGCTCCCAATATCCCAAGGACCTGGATAGCCACTCAAAGTCCGGATCCAGGTGCCGAACGGAACTCAAAGTGAAACTGCTTAACAAGACTCTCATTTCGGGAGTCTACAACTAAATGAACCATATAGCCAGTGTGTACCATATAGGATGCCTTTACTCCGTAGACCAGATCCCTTTAAAGGAATGAATACCAGAATTGTTAAAGGTTTTGAATTACTAATGTATGCAACCTGTTAGCTAAATTATCATCCCAGTGCCCCCGTGAACGAAGATTATATACGATTATAATGTAACGACGTATGTATGTATATATGTATAGTGTGATTAAGAGGCTTCAGATGTTTATTATACATATGTATGTACGTATGGATCCCCACGCAACCGCTTATATTGTAATTATACACTCAGTCTAGTCAAATACAAATATTGTAATTATATACTATGAATAAATATTGAGACTATATGAATCTACAAATCCATGCAATGTACAATACGCGTTGGAACTTCTGCATATATTCTAATCACTTACTCCTCTAAATCGAACCCAGAGAAATAAAACTTATCCCGAAGATCAAGTCTTTCATTTTTCACCATACTAACACCGAGATTAAACGACGAAAGAGTACAACGTTGGTACATCCGCTTATTTTCTTCGTTGGCAGGACTGCAAGGCGTCTTTAACGCACAAAACGGAGCTGATGTCCAAGATGGAGGTCCAAAAGGAGGATATGGCCAGCACCATCGATCAGCTGGAGAAAAAGTAAGATGGCGGGGCAGTAGGGCTATAAACCCACTGATCCGGAACTATATTTGTAACCCGTTGTTCATGAAGATATTTTCCAAGTATCCGGAAAATAGGGTTTCTTTTGATAACTCCGCATTAAACCTGGTTTTGCCCTCTGCAGGTGGAGTCATGACAAGAGCAACCTGGGGGAGATTCTCAAGACCACGTCGCAAACACTGACCACCCAGGTGACCGCCAGCGAGGAGCGGGCTGCCCGGGCGGAGGCCGAGTCAAGGATCGAACGCGAGTGGCGGATTTCGCTGCAGGAGAAGGAGCTGAAGTTGAAGGAGAAAATATCCAATCTGCAGGGCTGCCTCAAGGAGCTGGCCGAGGAGAAGGAGAGGAATGGCAAACTGAAGGCTGATCTGGACAAGGTGCGAACGCAATGGTCAGAGGCACAAACTACGCTGGAGGAGCTCGGCATCCAGCTGAGCGTGAGCAAACTGAAGGTGTCGGAGATGCAGGATCAGGAGCGTCGCCAGCGGCAGCTGCTCTCCGGCTCCGCCCAGTCTCTGCAAGCCATGCCGGAGGCGGTTGGAAGTCCAGGTATCTGGGCACCGGACTCCATTGCCACCCACTGCACCGCCTGCGAGCGGGAGTTTAATCTCACGCGGCGGAAGCACCACTGCCGCAGCTGCGGGGAGATCTTCTGCAAGGCCTGCTCGGAGCACACGCTGCCCCTCCTCAATGCCCAGGGTCAGCCGGGGAAACCAGTACGTGTGTGCGATATCTGCTACGCTGCTAAATGATAATCAATGGCGCATTCACACATGGATATTTGTTCGACTAGGAATTGCAGGGGCGGTCGTGATTTTAAGAGAGCTCTAGAATTATGTTCATAAGTCCTGTTCCATTAAATGGTAATATTGTGCTCGTATCTTATGTGAAATAATAAGATAATTAAAATATACCTAAATGTTATTGCATTAATATGAATGTCAACCGCCCCTGCAACAATCGTATCTATTGACCATTTACCTTATGAATAATACCCTTTTAGGGGTGTATATTATAGTACATTTATAGAGTTGTGTAATCAAATTATGAAAATTGTGTTACAAACTTATTAAAATAAACAAACGAAGACTAAGAAAATAGAATGCTATTGTCGAGTTCCCCGACTATCAGATACCTGATACCTCAGCTAGTGGAAGTGCAAACGGGGAATTTATGGACTTTAGAACTTCAGTGTTAGGATATTTTTGAATTTCCACAACATCTTAGCATCAGAAAAATTATAAAAAAATTTAGGAAAAATAAATTTCCAAATTTGAATGCAGATGTTTAGAGAATTGCTCCAGAAACATTTAGAAGTATGCCACTTTAAGATCCGATTAAAATAAGTTGAGTTATGGACTTTCAATATTCAGCCTTGGCACATTTTTGAATTTGTACATCATAGCATCAGAAAAATTAAAAAAAAATTTTGGAAAAATAAATTTCCAAATTTGAATGCAGTTTTTTAGAGAATCGCTCCAGAAACATTTAGAGGTATGCCACTTCAAGTTCCGATTAAAATAAGTTGAGTTATGGACTTTCAATCTTCAGCCTTGGCACAATTTTGAATTTGAACAACATCATAGCAACAGAAAAATTACAAAAAAATTTAGGAAAAATAAATTTTCAAATTTGAATGCAGTTTTTTAGAGAATCGCTCCAGAAACATTTAGAGGTATGCCACTTCAAAATCCGATTGGGATTAGTTGAGTTATGGAGTTTAGATCTTCAGCTTTGGCACATTTTTGAATTTGTACATCATAACATCAGAAAAATTACAAAAAAATTTAGAAAAAATAAATTTCTAAATTTGAATGCAGTTTTTAGAGAATTGCTCCAGAAATATTTAGAGGTTTGCCACTTAAAAATCCGATTGGGATAAGTTGAGTTATGGAGTTTAGATCTTCAGCTTTGGGACATTTTTTACAACATCATACATCAGACACATTACAAAAAAATTAAATTTAAAAAAATTTTATAAATTCGACTCGGCTATTGATCCTGATCAAGAATATATTACATACATACATGTTACATGTTACATACTTTTCAACGAATACTTTTCAAAGAGCCGCTGTCGTTGGAAAATCAGTCAAAACTATTTATAAAGTTTCAAAATGCTTTTCAAATACACAAAACATGTTAAAACTACTGGGCAGCCTGGGTCGCTCCTGCTGCTCATCAGCCAAATCGGGATTCAAGATCCAGCCAAGTTGTATTTCAAGGATTTGGTTTGGTCCGATGCCCAAGGACTCGAATTGGATAAAACCAGGTCGTCTTCACTACATCGAAAACGAGGTGGAAAAACAAGTGGACATTATAAAAACAATAGATGGTGTGGTGGTGCTACTGTACAACAAATCGCGCGAAAAACTGATCTTCGTGCGTCAGTTCAGAGGAGCGGTGTACCAGGGAATACATTCAGCTGGATCCCCAGACATGTCCAAAGGAGAAGCTGACCTGGAGAAGTTTCCGCCCGAAATGGGAGTTACTTTGGAACTTTGCGGTGGCGCCGTGGACAAGGCCAAAAGCGTTGTGGAGATCGCCAAGGAGGAAGTCCTTGAAGAGTGCGGATACGAGGTGCCCACGGAATCGCTGCAGCATGTCTACGATTATAGATCGGGTATTGGCACCTCCAGCAGTGCCATGACATTGTTCTACTGCGAGGTGTGTGATGCTCAAAGGGTCTCGGAAGGCGGGGGCGTGGACACAGAGGAGATCCAGGTGCTAGAAATGTCCTTGGAGGAGTCGAGGAAGCTGGTCCAAACAGGGGCCATAACTAATGGTGGACCCTCCTGCTTGCTGGGGCTACTATGGTTCTTTCTGCACAAGGCTCCCAAACGTGCTTAGTGGTATATCAGTATTAAAAACTTTAAATAAGCTAAATTTAAATAATATTCATTTATTTTGTTTGTTACAACGAACTTTTCAAATTCGATTAGTATTACCATCTGCCGCCTGGCATTAAACGTCAGAAAAGCTCCCCCAAGCAAAAGCTGCCATCTGATTGTGGCTCCCTGTCGCCGGTTGGAGCTTTCCCAGTCAGCTGATGGCAGTGCCACTGCCGTGTTTTCGTGCCTCAAATCCACTAATTTAGCATGGAGAACGTTTCCAAGATCTGGCTGGGTCCCCTGCCCCAAGACTCGCCCTACGTGAAGCCCTTCCGGCTGTACTACGTCCAGAATGGCGTGGAGAAGAACTGGGACCTGCTGAAGGTGCACGATAGTGTGGCTATCATCTTGTACAACACGTCGCGCGAGAAACTGGTCTTGGTTCGCCAGTTCCGACCCGCCGTCTACCACGGCATCATCTCCAGCGCCAAGGGCACCTTCGATGAGGTGGACCTGAAGGAGTTCCCGCCCGCCATTGGCGTCACCTTGGAACTCTGCGCCGGCATCGTGGACAAAAACAAGAGCTGGGTGGAAATCGCGCAGGAGGAAGTGGTTGAGGAGTGTGGCTACGATGTCCCAGTGGAACGGATCGAGGAAGTCATGGTCTACAGGTAAATGGGATACATGGCTACATACATACTTAAGTAAATAATTGTATATTTTTGTTTATATTTTGATTTACCTGTTTTACACTCTTAAAATTGTAAAATATTTGAAAGCCGCTGGTATTCCATATAAACAGCTAACACTAAAACCTTACATAATTCAACCATCATAATTGATTTTCCACAATCTTCCTGAACAACTTGTTTGATAAATCCATAGATAAACATAAGTCGCAATGTGTGTAATGCGAGTATTCCCTTGCAGATCTGGAGTTGGTTCATCGGGTGCCAAGCAAACCATGTATTACTGCGAGGTGACCGATGCGGACAAGGCCACAGGCGGCGGCGGAGTCGACGACGAGATCATCGAGGTGGTGGAGCTGTCCCTGGAGGAGGCGAAGCGGATGATCCAGCAGGGCGCCGTGAACAACAGCCCGCCCAGCTGCCTGATGGGACTGATGTGGTTCTTCGCCAACAGGGCACCCTGTGCGAAGGCCTAGAGGCAAACCCAGATAAGCGGCGGCCGTGATAAGATGATAAGATGCGTCCGCATCCGCAGCGTTGCCTTATAAACCTCAGTTAGTCAACACGAATTCGAATGCTTTCCAACCAAGCGCATTGTGAGTGCGCCTGGCGCACACTAATACTGAAATTCCCGTGCCTGCCGAGGCTTACCTTATGATACGATATGTACCGTGTAATATGTAATAAACCCCGGCCAGCTGTCCGCTCATGAATTCGGTCAAGATGTCTCCCACTTCCATCTCACCTTCGAGTTCCACTCCCACCGCGGCAGCCAAGTGCATAAATCGCCTATAAATCAAAATGCCGCAAGACGCTGCTGCTGCAGAAGCTCCAAACGGGTTCCGCTTTTCTCCGATCCCATCCGATCCGATCCGATGCGATGCGGTGCGATGGGATGGGACCTGGTACTGTGGACCCATACCCATCTCATCCTATCCCAATCCCGAAGCGAACCAAAGCGAACCAAAGCGAAGCGAAGCTGTGTGCCGTTTTTGGGCCCCTGTCGGGCAGCGTGTTGCTGGGATCAGGTTACTTATTTATACACGGCCAGGGACTTTAGCTTCCATGAACGCTCCTGGTACTCCTCATCACAGAGAAAGAAATATCATTCCGCTGGGGAATCATCCTCATCATCATGCAGTCATATTTATTTTCAATTCTTGACTAAAATATGCATTTAATAGTTTAATATGTTTGGAATTTTTCTTATGTTTAAATATTATTATATTACAAGCTGTAAAATCCATTTGAGTAATAGCATGAAGCAGTGAATCATCACCTATTAAGATTCATATTTATACATATACTTCAGTTGGTAGCGATATGGTTTGAGATTAATATCTTTTTAGTATATCATGCATATAAACCTCTTTTAGTAAACAATACTTCTGTATTTTTATTTATCACGCAATTATTTTCCGTGCACCAGCATCTATCCATCCTCTAGCATCGGATCCATCCTCCATTTCCATCCATCCCGGTTCAGCGGTCATGGCGAGTGGCGGCGTGGAAATTTATTTACCCCAGAGCCATGATTTGGCAATATTTCAACATTGTAATAGAATTTCTTTCAGCCTATTCAGACTTGACTTCCTTTTCGGTGGATCACCCAGCCCCTGCCCCTGCCGCTGTACCAGATCCCCCTGCTCCTGCTCCAGCTACCAGCTCCCAAATCCCAATTCCCCTCCTGCATCTTTCGCATGTGCGTGCATTCGATTTGCCGCTGATAATCAAGGCCGGTTCTTTGTTGTTGTCTGCTGTTCGCTTGCGTGTTAACCTCATGTAAATTATGGACCCGAGGCGAAGGAGCCGTCGGCAGCAGAGTCAACAAAAATGCGAGTGTTGAAATTATATTTAATTTGCATATGTTGGCGGACGACCGGCCGTCCAGGAGGCCCCTCAGGGAATCGGGGATGCAAATGAGTTGAGGGAGTTCCACGTGGATCAGGTGTAATGTCGACAACAGGGATTTGTCACGGAACCAGTGGCTCTCAAACTGTGGCCCCAGTGCTTCTATGGAGGTTGAAGTACTGAAAGTTAGGGCCAAGTTAAATGAAGAATAATTAACTCATATATCCTATGAATATCAAAAATAGACTTGAAGGAATATCATAATCCGTATCCAGGTCATGTAAAACCATGGATTGATTTGAAGTGAGTTTCCCTTGAAACCTCCAATGAATGAAAGCGGGTTTCTTTTGCGTTAATTTAATGGCCGTTGCGTATTCCAGAGCGATTTCTTTTGATTTGTCTGGCGACAGATTCGCGGCTGCAACCTATTACTGCTGCAGATATCGCTGCTGCTGCAGTTGCAGTTGCTTCCTCATCGCACTGAAACCCATCTGTCGCCTGTCACCTGCTCCCGTTTGAAGTGGTCGCTGTTGCTCCCCAAGGTACAAATCGAAGTCATCACAGAAACTGATTGTATTTACACTCAGAAAAATTCAGATTTTAATGTATACACAAAAATCTGAAAAAATATCTCAAAAATGTTATCTTTACTTACCTTTACCTTTATCTTTACTTTACTATACTTTACTTTACTTAAATAATCCGAAAAAGGTGATTTCTATTTAATATAATTACCACCTCGTGATTCAAATACTTAGTAGTTATTTTCCGTGCGGCTTTACCTTTTGGTTTTGCTCAGTTGCGCAAGTCCAATTGTACAGAATTGCAATTATTTCATAATCACGTCCCAATTTATGTGCTGCCGGAGCAGCGCGGCGATAGGCCAGAGATTGCCATTTCGAATCAAAGCGTCTTTCTATTCCTGCGCACCCAACTGACCTCCAGTGGCTAAGGCAATAGCTATGGAGCTCTGGCCTCTGAGAATCCAATCCCGATCGCAAAATGGCGTCCGCACACGAACGGGAGCGAAAAGTTCCAGGCGGGGATCGGGGGATGGTCGGAGCTGGGGGCGGGGAGGCTTCAGTTCTGGGATGGGAAGACGGAAGATCAAGAAATCGCGATCATGGCTCGGTTTCCAGTGCGCATGCGAAAATTAAGTGCAGCCAGCAACAATCATAACAACAACAGCAAAATTACCTGTAAAACAGTTATGGTTTTTGTTGTTGCTGCTGCTGCTGCCGCTGCTGCTGCTGTGGAGCAATAATGAAATTTTTATCGGATTTGATTATAAGTTGCCCAGCTACATCCCGGCCACCCCGCCGTCGTAATCTGCCAATAAGAAGAAAAGTAAGCGAGGTAGGTACACTGGGACTTATAGTTCCAAAATATTTCTTATATTCTACAGAAAACTTTCTAGTTCTTGGGTTAAATTGCATGTCTATAGTCCATTATTCATCAAATTGATTATATTTGATTGATATTTGGATATCCCCTTCAAGGCTAGAGAATAATATTTTCTTTCACTGTACCGCACTGGTAGCTGCCTAGCAGGGAATGGGATTGGGTTGGCCATTCGCGGGGGACTTGGGGGAAACTATGTAGCCGCCGCTCATTGATTCCGCCTGCCGTCCATTGGCCGTTGTCCGTCGTGATGCACTTTAATGAAATGAAATCTTATACTATCATGAGGCGCATGAACTGTAAAGCCGAAGCTGAAGCTGAATCTGTAGCCAAAGCCAAAACCGAAACCAAAACCAAAGACTCCGAACTGCAGTCCAAGTCCGCAGCTTTGCCCACTCAAAATGTATAATTATCTGGCGGTTTTATCCGTTTGCCAATATTAAATTTCTCATCACGCCCAGAGAGAGGAAAATGCAGTTGCAGTGGCTGCTGCTGCTGCTCCCGAAGCTGCTGCTTCACCTGGGTTGGTTCTTGGCGGAGCTTACAGGTGGGAAGAGGAGCAGGAGGCATCGGAGGAGGGTATGTCCCGCTTCATGGGCACGGGCGCCGTCAAACAATTAATAAAAGGCCAAATGTCTGCAACGAAATTTATGCGGCTGCCTTTGCCATCGAGTTATATATAGGCTTCGGATTTCGGACTGAAGTTTTGCTTTTCCGCTCCTGACGCGGCAGTGGCCAAAAGGAAAAGGCTCCGTTGGCGGCTTTACCGTTGCACTGCTCGATGGACTTTCTAAAATCGATGCCACCAACTTCGGGGTCGAGGGCTTCTTGGGGCGTTGTTCCTGCACCTTGCTCTCTGGTCGCCGAGATCCGGAGATATGTGCTCCGCAAGGTGCGGCATCCGACAGATTGGGCACAAGAACTGCCATAAATGTGTGTCAAGTGGCTACACAATGCCTGAAAACAAAACAACGAGCGAACATAATTATGGTTATTAGCAGCGAATCAGTTTAGAATTTATAATTAATGAAGCTCGGGTTGCACAGCACTGGAAATAGTAAGTTCGTGTTTTAAGTCTTTTGATTTCGCCATGAACAACGAAATCAGCTCAGTGCTATGA